TATGTGCTGGCTGAACTACAGGAATACCGTCGCGTCTCGAGCATTGCGCCACGGGAAAAGCAGAGAGTGCCGTGTGTCTGCCGGTGGATTTGTCACCGTGGACCGATAATGTTCGCCGAGGTCGTGTTTACTTCTCCGAGTTAGCACCCGAGCCCTTCTTGACCCCCGCGATGAATCATCGTGTCGGACTGGATCAAGATATATTCCTGCTCTACCGGTCTGAGTCTGGGCCTCTGGATTCTATCAAATAAATAGGCATTTGCCGAAAAGGGTATATACTGTTCCACTTTATTATTCTAAATGAATAATTAATGATTATCGATTTAGGGTAGTTAAAAAATTTTAAGCTTGATTAACGTGGTAATAATTGTAATAGAAGATTGATTTTCTGTTACTATACCATTTTCAAATTCACAAATTGAAAAGCGTGGAAAGTTGTTCATGATTAGAATTCATGTTTGAAGCTCAGCGTATCTACTAAATGTCACTCGTGTGAGATACGAGCCACCGTTTTATGCTCGAAGAGTCGTTAGTTATTCCACCAACGGAAACAACGGGAAGATAATGGTAATTAGCTCGCCGCGATGCTTGTTCCACTTTTCAATGCTTCACTTTTCCTTTCATTCCTTTCTCTCCTCCCACGAGTTACATCAACACGGGCTCAAGCTCCATCAACGTGTCGGCTCTCGTCCTGAAGAGCACTCGTTGCGAAGTCGACGTAAACTACGGAGATAAAGCAACAAAGACACGGGAATGAGCTACGTATCATCAACAATTATTAACGTTTACTTACATGTTTTGTTCTTTGCATATCTGGCAGTGATTAAGTCAATCATAACCGAGACGTACTGCACTTGTATTAATTAGGCATTCTAAAGAATTTCATAAAATTTATTCCCAAAAATGAACCTGCGATTCGTTCTCAAACAACTCGAAAATTCCTCGTGTCCGGTTTACCGAAACAATCCAGAGAGAGTATGTACGTTGTCCAGCGTAGCAATCTCCGTCTGCAAAAATTAATTACACCCGATGAGATCAGATTCAGAAGGCAGCAGACACTCCGTGTCCCCTCGTTCGAACGTAATTCGAAACCGGACCCCGCCGGACAGAAAGAGGCAGAACCGAGGGACGGGATATCCTAATCGGTACGAGAGTTTCCACCGACCGACTCTCAATTCGTAGCGAAGCAATTCAGCGAGGCTCGCGGGTGGAAACGGACTCTGCACGGCGCGGCGAGCAGAGTGAGGGTGGCGGATGAGCAGAGGAGAGGATGGGGCGGAGAAGGAGAGACGAACGACTCGAAGACAATGCAATTATTCGCAATTACCGCGTCCGTCCGCGGTTCGCGGAATTATCCCATTCTGTTTCCATTATTGGCACCGTCGTTCCTCCCTATCCAACCACCCCCTTTTCCTCGTTCCAAATCCCCCCCTTGACTTCGACGCGCACATAAATTCCCGTACACAGGGATGCGCCGATGTAAGGTGGCGTACCACGTCGAAGGAACGATGAAATTAATGCTGAGGGTCGTTTGCCAGCGAGAGAATGTGGCTATGATTGGACTAGGGGTGCGACGGAGGGTGGAACCGAAATATAGAAGCAGAATTTTTGTTATTCATGACTTCTAATCTGTCCTGTTACAGAAGCAACAAGAATTTGTGAGTTTAATTATTTGCATTGGGTGATTTGAAAAAATTACTGGGTCGATTTTGATGAAATTTTCACTAATTACTCCGTTATACTTTTTAGATGATTGGGTAATTATTACACAGTCTATTTGTCATTACAGTGAAAATTATTTTTACGTTAACATTCTGACTTTGTGAAGAATTTAAATTCGTTATTTGTTAATTATTAATTTTCTTAAAAATAATAATATTTAATTGAACCAGTAATTATCGTTAACACGGTTATTATATGAGATTTAAAAGTGTACATATAAGCACACACGGGTCTAATAGGTTCAATTCAATCGAGGGTAGTTGGCGCGATAAAATTCTTTTCAACCCTTGCTCTATCTTTGAGCACGCATAAACCGAATCACCGCGACCGAAAACGGAGCTGGAAGGATTCGATTACAAAGCCTCTTCTCTTTCGCTCTTCTTTCTTGCTACAGCCTCGGCTCGTTAAAGATTAACGTGCCCTCGGAACCCGGCCGGAGGGGGAGGAGTGGCTAATGTAACAAAGGAAATCCGGGCGACGAGGGACGAAACCTAATTACCCGGCTCTCTGCTCGAACGGACCTTCTCCTACGATTCGGTTTTTCGCGACCACGGAAAATACCGTGTCGCATTTACCGGTAAACGTCGCATTTCCCTGTCTCGGCCTCTGTTACCTACTTTTCAATGGACGATTAAAAAATTGAGTTTCACCAAACGGGACTGGGTGAAGTTTCATGATATCCTTTATACTTTGCTTCTTATTTTAATCTTTTAATGTTTATTAAAAATTTTTACCCCGATTAGGATCATTTTTTACTAACTTTTTAGATAGTAAATTAAATTTTTATGATTAAAATTTCAGTATTTAAATGTAAAGATTTAAAATTATTATTACATTTAGCAACTTCTCTGGTAAGTTTTCCTTAGGAAAGGGTTGGTTTCATGAAAATTTCGTGAAAGCTTGACTCGCTGGAAGTCGGAGTAGGTTTTAAAGTTAGTGTAGCTAAGGAACTGGCCGCGTTGCGGGACTTCGTATTACTTTTTCAATTATATACCTGGCTGTTGGGACAAGCTGGTGGCTGGCACGCGTTAGGGTGTATTAAAAGGGTCATCGCGTCTATGGGGAGTGTGCCAGCCGTTTCGTTGCCCAAGAAAACTGTAGGCTACGATCAAATCCGTGTAGTTCGAGGATGCATAATTTATAGGGCGACTGAAATTTTTATTTATATTTCACTAACGTGATATTTTGAGATTTTAAAAATGTATAAAAATATATTATTGATATACATTTAATTCTAAGTGCAATTGTACCTGTTAGAAAGGAGTAGTTTGAAATTTATCAGTTGTTGAATAATCAGATTAGGAGATTGAGATATTAGATTGTTTAAGAGCGAGGACAGCATGGGAGAAAGAAGAGTAGGGAGAGTACAAGTAGTAGAGAAGGGACGGGAGTTTCTAAACTGCTTGCATCTAGTAAGTGGTAAACTGGCAGGGAGTACTTGGAGGAATAAACGGGTAGTAGAAGTTATGCCAGCATTGTTCTAATTTAATCATACATGCCAGCAACAGCCAAGATAGTGGTTCAATCTCGGAGCAATCCACTATCTCTAACACTGGGATTCTTCTCAGTTCTCCTTCCTTTACAGTTTTAAACCTCTTTAGCTCAACGAATAATCGAAAGAGAAAAGAAGTTTAAAAAAATCTTATTATGAATATCATTAACATTACTTTAATTAATTACTTTAAACTAGCAAGTGAAAAGTTGAAATTTAAAGATTTAAAAAAAGAGCACGTGAATTTTCAAAAAATTCACATCACTAACGTCTGACTATCTGCGTAGCGGTTCTACTTAACGTTTGGCCGGCAGTAGTGCAGTCAATCATAACTCAGTCAAACCTGCGAAACGTGTACCTCGATGCTGTGATTAAAATTAACCAGATAAATTTCTGAATGAAAGACCTTCGTATATTCTAAAAATAATATTTAACATAATAATATCAAATTTCTAAAATAAAAATATAAAGGATTTTAATATTAAATTTAAACTCTCATATATTGAGTAATTTCTTTGGAATTTACTGGTTTTTGTTAATCAGTAGCTCGTATCAATTCTCGGATAAATTAAAAAAAGATACTTGATATAAATTATCGATTAAATTACAGATTTTATTCTCTCACATGACAGACAAACGCGATTCGATTCCACTTCAGAGAACCGAGTCTTTGATATTCGATTTCACAAAATTCGCTTGTTGTTTCTGTCTTTTTGGCAAATAAAATCGATCGCGCATTTCGAAAATTCCCAAATTCAATCCGACGTGACGTGAATTAGCGCGCGCCGGAATTACAGTGAAATTAAATGAAGATTAATTTTCGTTTGAGCGGCTAGCACAGGCTTCTGTCTGATCGGAACCCAATCATAGCGGCTGTTTTATGTTTCTCAGCTGAAAACCCTGTAATTGAAATGTTTCGCTGAATATTCAACCGAAAATGTGTTTGTAAAATAAAACCATAGTTCTGCCTTTTTTTCTTTTCAAATACAAATATCTAAGATTTAATTGATCGTAATGATAATTTAACAAATAAGGGTGCTTAGACCTATTATTTTAAAGATAAGTACATTTTATCTTCGACAAAGCTTGCTTTCAATCCAGAAACTAAATTTCACCCTTTCGTTCAAGCAAGACTTTTATTAATTCAGCACTCCCGAAAAGAATAACAGAACGATGAAAGCATGAATTTCAAGTAGATTATTTTTCATGCTTATTTTGAGTGTTTCTTTTGGACCTTTGCAAGAGATGAAAAACCACGAAACGTTAGAAACGGTATAGGAATCATAAAACGTGGTGTATGAAGATTTATGTAAAGAACGCAAGATAAGGGGTCCTGTGACAACAATCGATCGAAGAGACTTCAATTGAATATTGAATTTTATGGTAATGATAACTTCGAAAGCATTTGATTCTTCAAGGTTCCAGGGAAAAGGGTACTCGAATCGTAAGATGTTTCCATTAATTGTCCGGCAGAGGTGTGAAAAGAATACTTCACTCTTCGAGCCTTTGTTAACGGAGGTGTTGCTTTGTATTGTGAATTAAATGTTACTCATTTTTTAGCATAAACTCCATCTGAAAATATAAATAATTAAACCATAATTCAACTTTTAATTAATTTCTTACCAAGTACTAAATGAAATAACGATCAAAGAATTAGAAAAGTCCACGTTTTTCAGCTATAAAGTTCTAATAAACTTCTTCAACCCTTAATTGCTACAGTGGCGTCCTGAAATAATTATTCGTGAAAATATAAGTAAATGACGAAACTTTTTATTTTTTGTTTCAGCAACAACAGCAACAAGCCCAGCAGCAGGTCCAGCAGCAGCAGCAACAACAGCCTCAACAGCAACATCAGCAGCAACAACAACAGGCTAACTCACCAGGAGGTGGAAATGTGGGGAAAAGTAGTCCTTCACCAGGAAATTCGGCCTCCCCTAGCGCTGTAACAGCAGCAAATAAATCACAGACCGAACCTAAACCGGTCGAGTGCAATTTGTGCCATCGGAAATTCAAAAATATACCAGCTCTCAATGGTCACATGAGATTACATGGCGGTTACTTTAAAAAGGTAAGTTCGATAGAATCTAAAACTTGCATCAATCTCGGATTGACGTTTTATCGTATTCGCTCCTTAATTAAGATTGTGAAAAAAAAATTAAAGTGGATAGATTTCGGTCACTTGTCCCAGTCGCTTGTTTATTTCCATCGTGATGCTCGAAAATTATAGGTAATCCTGCTTTTGCTTACCTCTCCCACGAAGCAGGCTACAAACCACGAGCAGAATTGAATTTTCGAGAAGAATTTCACAAAGTTTACCAAAGGCTACGTCGACGAGCGAGGTTTAGACACATTACCATATGAATTCGCAATCGTAGAATCCTCGCGAGGGCCGCTTCCGGTGTAATCAGTCGGTGATTTCGTGAAAATCTCGTTGGTGAAAATGTAATCAACCGACGATTTCGTGGAAATCGGGTTTCATGAGAGGATAATTTAGACTCGAGTTTTTCAACACTTTCTTGCTGATTTTATTTGATGCAATGAACTCGATACGTTTTAGGGTCCGCTGTTCAAGGATTAAGAGTGAATATTAGCAACAAAAAGTTTTTACTTGTTAGAATGCGTGACTTTTCAAACAAAAGTATCTTAAAAAAATTACTAAAATACAATTACTACCGTAGAAAGTCAATAACAATTTTAAATGACATGGTAATGGTATAATTTGATTTCAATGACAACACATTTACATTAAATCATCGTATACATCAGCTGAATGAAATCACGTTTGCAGTCCGTCGTGTTCGTTTCTCATCTCGTTGCATCTCGACAGGACAATCGTCCTGTCGACGCGAAAAAAAAAGGGGAAAAGGATAGGCGAAAAGAAATCAGAGATGGAATCTCTGGAAAGGATCAGCTCGACTTCAGCTCACTTCTTTTCTTCGCTTCCGTGAGTGGAAAGTCCGAACAGAGAGGCTCTTAATAAGGTCAAGGAAGAGTCTGTCGCAGTCGTCGGAATGGAAAGATCAGCGATTCTCCCATCTTCTTCGTCCAACTTCTCTGAATCAGCTTCCCTTCCTTCTGTCGCCTACGGAACTCTCTTTGCTCGCTGATTAAAAATGTCTTAACGAACGCCAGTGTCGTTTATAGGAAAGTGCTGAAAGAGATTCTCGAGAAAAGTTTCTTCTCTTCAAGCCTGTTCCTCGCGATCTAGATACGGCCGAGATTGAACGAGCGAAGCGAGAACTCATACAGTTCAATATCTTCGATTTTTGAATAATATCTGAGATCTTGTATCCATTGGATAATGGAAAGGGAGTCGAATGAATAAAGATTTCGCTTTAGGTTGAATCTGTTTCACTCGTGATTTAACAACGACGTGATCGAGGATTATTGCTAATTAGGGATGATATTCAAAACCATAGAGATCAGTTTCTGAAATGGGAGGGCACACGTTTGATTTCCAAAATTAACGATCAATTTCACCGATAACAACCGCCAACAAGTTTTCTCGTTTGGCTGGACTCGCGTAGAGAGGGCAGAAGTTAAAAACGAGTCGATCGAGGAATGAGGAAAACGAGGGTGGATGGAAAGGTAAGGCGATGATCGAATCGAAATGAACCCATTAACAAGCTCTCTGCATTCCATCGGATCTGGCTGGCAATTTGTGGCAGAGACGGAAAGATTCGGAGAGCCAGGAACGGGTAGGAGAGGCTCGTGCAAACATTGTCTCGAGCTTTCTCCATTATGTAGATTGAATCTGAACCCGGTTACCGGCTGGGTTTTCAACGTTCCTGCTCCCGTTTCGAGCGGCAGCCGAGTTTTCACCTCGTCTGGACTACGCGCATCCGGTTTCACCGTCCAGCTTCCCGTTCATGCGACTGCGTCCAGATCCATTCATTTTCATCTGTGTACATACATTCATATTCATGGTAGCGGCGGCCTCCTTTATGTCCGCGATTTTGCTGGTTGGAACGTCGCTGCGTTCAGGGACACGCAAATGAACGTTTCATGGTGTTCAAGAGCGAAGGATAAGGTTCGAATATTTTTTACATGAATTCTGAGTTAAACGTTATGCCATTAGTGCTGTTGAATACTTCGTAAGGTTAATAAAAAGGTTAAGAAGAATTCTTAAGCAAACATTGCAATTTTGTAAAAATGTCTTCTTTATAACAGCGTCCGACCTATACTCAGCTATACTACTGGCAACGGCACAAGTTAGTTTACTGTACAAAGCAATGTTTTTTTTTTTCAAGGATTGTTGAAAAATTTCGGATGGTTTTCCATCGAGGTATAGCCAGATTAACGCGTGTTCCCATAGGTCGAAAATCGAAAGAGACCGAAAGAACACAACTCGGTATTACCTTTTCTTTTCTCGTGAAACCGCCAGATGCGTCTGAATTTTTCGTATGAAAATTGTCGGACGAGAGGAGGTTTCAAGGTTTTGTTAGTTGACGTCACGCGGGGAAAAAGGATTAAAGGATTCGTGGACACTTTCGAGTAATGCAAAACTGTCTGCTCCCAGCGATGGTGAATATTTTTCGCGCGAATCTGTTCGGTGAAAACGTTGCCTTCCCGTGGACCGTTAGGCAATTAAAGGTTAAATCCTCGAACAAACAGAATTCGCTTGATCGCCTTTGAAAGATAAACAGCAGAAAGTTGAACAAAAATGACCCTGGTCTGGTCGCCTACCATTCTATCCCTTTTGTTTCTATTGAATTTCCGTTTTTGTTTCTTTTACTCGCTTCCTTTGAATTCTTTCGCTGATTCGTTGGATAAAAGGTAATGCACTTTTGTTTTTGTTAACGATAAGGTTTCTGGGATATTCGGTGGATATAAAATTAGAGGTAATGGTAATGATTTCTTCGAGGTAACTATAAATATTTCTACTAAATATTAAAATTTGTTATAGTGTGTATTCGATATTGATCGGTTCAGTTAAATATTAATTCTATGAAATTTCAAGTACGTTATTTAACCAACGATTATAAAATGATGGTGGTGATGCTATCCTCTAATAAATCATTCGTCATTTAATCAATTACCATAAATGTACAGTGGATAGTACCATTACCACTACTCATTTATGAGTAGTGAATAATCAACCATTCATAATAATTGGTGAAATAACGAATTTGAAATTTCATATAATTAATATTAAAATTTGTTTTTTATCACTCGGCATCCTGTGATAAATTTTTAAAAGAATTTTATAATACTCGTTGTTACGAATCGGAAATTGAAGGGTACGATGGTGATCAGTGATTACCTGAACTACCGTGATCTTCTACCATTGAGGTATCATCAAGATGACGATGGCCAGTTACGTATCGCGTTATGGTGATGTATGTTTCCCTCGAAGGGAACTCGCTTGCGAAAGGGGACGAAGATATATGCACGTCCGACGTGGACGTATGTTAATCACCCTGGCGTCCGAAGGACTGGCACAATTAACCCTTCGTTTCATCGGGACCACTAATCTAGGCTGGTTCGATCGAAGTATCGAGATGCGTTTCCGATTAACGGAGTAGTTCGTAATGGATAGGGTAAACGTTATGGGGATGCAAAACAGTAACGAAAATTTTGAGAATATTGATGCACGACAGGACTTTATTTTCATTTAAACAACTGTTGAAATTTCATACTCCTCTTCATAGCGGTAAATAAATTTGTTGACATTGTCGTGTTTGTTTCAGGACGCTGAGAACAAAAAGAGTGAAAAGAAAGAAGTTGTTGGGCCACCATTACAAACTGCTTCTGTCAGCGTGAGAGCACTCATCGAGGAGAAGATTATACAGAAAAGAACGACTGGTAAGTCAGTAAAATTATTTAGTATCGCTTGAAATCGCCATTCTCTTTAAATTAAAGTAATAAGTTTCATTGAATAATTAAAATACACGTCGTTAGTATTAATAATTTATTATCTGCTTTGTGTTAAATTATAAATTCCATTTGACAACAAATTTAACACTTTTAAATTGACTAAATTCTTTCAATCACTCGTCAACTAATTAAATATCGGCGGTAATTTCGTGCGGTAAAACTTAACAATTTATCAGTAATCAATATATCGACTCCGATTAATAAGTTTCAGTATTTGAAAAATGTCTCGTTTTATTACCTATGTAAACGACAATATTAAGTGTTTATATAAATTTCAAATAGTCAGTTCCTGGTTGAAAATTAAATTATACGAAAAGTTTGATTTTTAAAATATTCTGATAAAAAATATGGATGTGACAGTGAAAATGAGGACAAAGGTAAATAATGAGAGGATCAAAATACATATCTCCTTTTTTCATGATTCATAACCATATCAAATGTTGAATAATGGCATTGATATAACGTTAAATAATGTGGGTATTCGAAGAACTGTAGAATACGAACAGGACTTCAATGATTTATGTACTCTGAAAGGGATCTCGATTCGACTATATCTCACGTGCTCTCTCTCTCTCTCTCTTCTCCACGAATACATTTTGCGGACTTTAATCGCAAGGAACAGACCGAGTTATATTAGCTGTCGAGTTATATTAACTTTTCCTTAGATATATTCCACGGTTTCATGTGACATCTGGTTCATGAAATCTATCATAAAACTACTATATGACACCCACAAATATTTAAATTCGAAATTATACCTTTCTAAATTTATTGCAACATTTGTTTCCAAATTATTATAAATAAGTAATTCAATTTAAATTCAATTCCGTTTCATTAGAATATCGTATATCCAAAGATCTCTCTATGTTCAACAAGGAATAATCATTTTCACGAAGAAACATTGATCCAATCAGAGAAGAGAAAATTCACGAACGCGATTGCAATGATTCATAGGATTCGCGACGTATCTCAATCCATTCTCTCCCTCCATCCCCTGTTACTCTCTTTTACCCTTCCCGTCTATCTATGCCTCGAAACGTGTACATTTGCCAGAAGCTCGCGTGATATTGCAGCCGAAGCGAAGCGAGGAATCGCGCGCCTCCTCCTCGCTCTATAGACTGCCGAAGAATCGTGATTTACGAAGCGAACAGGCCAGAATATTTCTCGCATTGTCCACGTTCGAGCGATAAATCAAGTCGCGCCGCGATGGCCATGGTGGTGTACGGGGGTGGCGGTACTAGGTGCCGCGCTTTTGTAACAAAGTGCACGTCGTTAGCGATTTATGCGCTATATCGCTGGCAAACGCTGCCAAGAGCAGCGGGAGACGAAACTATACTTCCTTTTCACCATGGGGATTCTTCTCGTAACTATGGCACCTCCCATGTTGAAATTAATCTGGCAGAATTAACGTTGCCCGAATCGATGGTAGCTCCTTCTCTCTCTCGCTTGAGTCGAGATTATTTAACTCTTGCACAAACAAAGTTTAATCCAACATTATAGGGGGTAGTTAATTAGAATTTAGCGTTTTATAGTTTTAATAAGCAGAGATACTTTGTGATTTTATTTATATTTTATTTTACTCAATGGGTTTGGTTAATAATAAATGTTTGGTTTATTGATCTTTCATAACGTACGACAAATGTCTGTGAAATCGATTGTGATTTTAGCATAATATCGACTCGATAATTCTTCGAGGGTAGAAACGACGATTTATATAAAATTTAGCGAGGGTCCTCGTGAAATACGAGCCATTGCTGACGGTGCATAACTCGATGCCGAGTGCATCGGTGCAATTCAAGGAAAGGTACGATAAGATGACGGGGCTGGTTATGGAGGATCGGTAAAATATCGTGGTTATCTGCTGATCGTTGCGAAAGTTTGGCAAACGGATAAAGAATACGTGTCATAAAGAATAATTTAAGGCATCCTTCGAATATATAACGTATACTTTTATTAATAAAACGGGAAATGTTGAATGATAATAGTTTACAAAATACCATTATATGTAATATATTTTCTATACGTCATAAATTCATTAACGTTCACAGTATAGATTAAATTAAACCATCGGAATATACTGTCCGATGCAATCGTCTAAATGCAATCAAGTATCTTTTTTCTTTTTCTCGAGTTGTGTCTGATTGTATCAAGAATCAGCGGCGGGTAAAAACAACATCCGAGAGAAACTCGCGTTCACTTGGTCGGTGGACAATCTGCTTTACCGCGATCAATGATTGGCAATTTGCAAAAATCCCCGGCGGTTTCGTCCGCGAGGATTTACGTCGTTACGTGACCACACACGAATGCACCGGCATCAAATGGATTTGCGGTCTGCATAAAGTTATGCGCGAAACCGGTGGCTGAAAAATTCAAAAGGGCTTCGCGAATTAACATCGGAATACCGATTTATCGATCGCGCGTTGGTAATCACTTTCTGAAAATCTCTTTAACGAAAGTTAAAATTACGGAAATTGGAAATGTATTTATTTTCACGGAGTTAATTGGGAAATTGAGAAAATAGATTGATGTTTAATTTTTGGTAATTAGCTGTAATTAAGCTACCTATTCAGAAATGAATATTATCTACATATTATATCACATGATTCAACATGAAAAATGGAGTCAGAACTCCATAGAATGAATTGCATTTAAATTGGTACCATTTACACTGATTTCAATTTACCATCTTGAAGCAGCAATAATGGTGCTCAGTTGGTTCGCTCAAAGACAGATATCAATTCCTTTTAGTTGATTTGTTAACGGTGGATTAAACAGTTAAGTAAAAACTCTGAAACGATGCAAAAAGAGGAAAAGTTGAACGTTAAAAGAGGTCAAAACCGGAGCAGATATTCGCGAAATCATCACAGAAAAGTTTCCTCCAACGATGCAGCTGCATACCCTATGGATTCCATTTCCTTTTCGCCCAGCAACCAGGATATGCGCGCATTTATACCTGTCGGATTTCGTTGCCATCGTAAACGATGCCTCGCGCCTCGAAATGTATTTTTCAACGACCCCGCGCACACTGTGTCTTCGTGGATACGTGTTGGGCGTCAATCTTCAGAGCAAACGGAAGAATTTATGGGAAATTCATGAGAAATTTATGTGAATGGCGTGTAATCTAAGGTTGGAAGGATTGTTTAGTGCTAATTTGTTATTCGTGTACGCTACAGATGTTCTATTATCTTTGGATCTTCGTTGTATTATGGTAAATTTGGCTTGAATTTTGCAAGATACGATATCATAAAAGTTCAGGAAAATGATATATGTGTACATATATTACAGCAAATTGATGGTTGAACGATCTTCCCACTTATTATTGTAATATGAGATAATTGATTGCCAATTAAACAGTAGCAGTAATCATTTGTCCAGTTAGGTTTGTTTTGACTATGTATTCTACGTTCTACTGATGACTGTTTCACTTAGAGTTCAGCAATATTAGCTTATCATCCTTTCGTTCGTCATTGTAATTTAGGACAATTGGTTGTCGGTGAAATAGCAACAATAACTATTTACCTAATTGGGTTTGGTCTGACTGTACACTGTTATGTTCTACTGATTAATGTCTATCATTTTTATATAGGATAATTGGTTGTAGATCCAACAGCATTAGTAATTATTTACCTAATTGAGTTTGGTCTGACTATATACTAGCATATTCTACTGATAACTATAAATTTCACTTAGAAATGTAATATACCTTCATTTAGATTTAGAACGTTTCAGTTTATTTAAAAAATAATACTATGCGATAATTTAAATCTTTACAATTCCAATTACTTAAACAGAATTTTACAATACTTCTCTGCATCGATTCATTTAAAATCTACAATCGGAAATGTAAAAAGCAGTCAGTATAAAGGAGCAACCGACGTGAATACTATTTTCATAATTCTTTTAAATGTTCCGCCCTTAAGCGTATTACCATTTTTCTCGGTTTTTCGTTTTCAAAACCTAAATAATCAGGAACGTTTCGTCCGTAGCAAAGTTTGCACGTAATAAGAGCGTTTGCTCCATCCAAAGATTATTACGCTTCTGGTTGGTACGTTCGTGAAAGGGCGGATTAAGGAACATACAAACGAACGACGGAAGAAACGCTCGTTAAGAAGATCGCAGACCTCATAATTTATTCCCCATAAACTGGAACGCACCGGGCAAGTACGTTCACTGAACTGGCAATACGATTAATTCATATTAACGTCGTAATATCGACCAATATGTACGACCTAGACGAGCCAGAATGAACGAACCGCTTTGCTCGTCGCTCTTTTCCTCTTGCCCCGTTCGATATTCCTGCTTCTCCCGTTATTTCTCTTCAATTAGTCATGCCGAAAGGGCTCGCGAGGATAAAACGAACGAAATTATCTGCTGTTGATCTCCTTTCAGGCAAACGTTCTACTTCTATCCGTTTTTCAAACAGCAATTTCCTTTTCTCTGATATGTTGATGGATATTAAAATTGATAATCACCTATAAAATATTAATAATATAGCATACCGTACGTGTTTCCTCAAAAAAATAGTATTTGCCATTTATATAAATATTCACTCTTATCATCCACGCTTTGTCATACAAATCATTTTATTGTATTCAGGATTCACTCTGCTATCGTCCACTCTCCAAGTAGTCCCTTTTAATTATAGAAAAACCGGATATCGATTAATTAAAAGGCATAACAGTTCGTAATTCTCCTTTCCTTTCTTCCCGCCGATTGGTCGGACAAAAAAAAAAAAAAGGTCGATGAGGGAAAAAGAAGGACGCGATAGAAAAGGGGTAGCGAATTGCGTGTCTCTTGTCGAAGGACGAACGAGCTGCGTCGCAACAAAGAGTCCTTTTATCCCTGTATCCTGATACACGCGTGTCCCTTTCTCTGTCTGTCTCTCCGTCCATGTCGGTGTTTATTCCGCTCAGAGAAGAAAAAAATGAAACGAACTCGGTGAAAACAGAGAATATGTCCGCGTGAGTTCGCGTACAACCGAACGATTCGAATGAATGACTCGAATCCTGTTCCCTTCGACGCGATCCGCGTTTCAATTGAACACGAACGCATTATGCGCCGTGGATATCACGCGACAACCAATGGAAGACATGAATGAATGATTATTTCGCAGAGATTAACGAATGATGAAGGGAATACCGTGCCAGTATATTTCAAAAAGGGTACATATCTGTTTTCTTGTTTAGAAAATGATTACCCGATATCACGAATTGTAGATAAATCTCCTTAAACGTTCGAATATTAAAGTCTTAATAATGCATGAATAATTAAACGAGAAAATAATTCTCGAAATCCTAATTTGAAAGATATTAATTTAGAAAAAATTACTATAATTGTTAATTATTAAATACTGGGAATTTTAATATATAACTAAAATAAGTATAAAACAGTAGAGCGAGTCGATCAATGGTCAGACAACGAAGAGAACTTGGGCTTATATGCATATTTTCGATAATTTACGATTGGTATTCATGTGTATTAATGTAATAAGACATGAAAATAAATAAATTCCGATGAAATAATAAAATAATCACAACCACGATAAAATATCGTTCGTTCGGCGACTATAAAAGAAAAAAGGGAAATACTCTGTTTTTTGAAGCATGCGTGGTGATTGGTACGTTTTATCGACGAACGAGATTGCATGTTACGCGAATACAGCGAGTTCCCAGGAAATTAAACTGCAAAAATAAAGTAAATAGTCGTGTTTATTCCAATTGAAATTTATTGAAATATTGTTTAATGATAGCGCAACGAACGAGGAGGATTTGATGGATCGCACCGACCTTACTGTATTAACCGTGCCGATGAAAATTAATATTTGCACTTCAATAGATATTTTAATTCCAGGAGGTTCGGTTACCTTTGTTAATATTTTGCGTATTGATTTAAAACGAAACTCGTATGGGAATTCGTTGAAGCAATTTATAAACTCAGCGAATTGCTGCTCATTAAATATATGGACGATTGTTTGCTCTGAAAATTATGTAAATCAAAATTTCAGCTGTTTTAAAAAAAGATTTAATTATAATTATAGAGGTTCCTTTTTTATTAAAAAATTTATATTCATATTCGTTACAAGAGAAGTAATTTAAATAATTTTAATATTGAAAAACTTCAGAACAAGAAATCTAATTAAAATTTTATTTTAATAACTTAGAAATTGTAGAATTGTAGATATTTTTTTATAATAATTATTTCACAAACTCAGCGAGTTGAAATCTTGTGGGTTCTCGTATTAAAAATCGATTTCATTTTATTTTAGCAGCTGACACGAGCACAAATCAACAGGCCCGCGCGAATATGACGGTTTTTACCACGCAAGCAGACAATGCGTCGCAGATTTCCGGTAAAACAAGTTTCGCGGTGCCAGCACCACCGCCGTTGGCTTCTGCGGACAAAGTTCGCAGACTTTCGGACGGTGAACACTTCCGGCAGCCCAATGTCACCGTTTCCGGCCACGCGACCGTGCAGAAACAACTACAAGAAGCGCAGACCCAGGCACAGGCGCAGGCGCTGGCCGACATCATTCTCAAGGTAAGTTTTTCTAATTCCTATTAATTTATTATTTCTTCAATCATTCGTGGCCAATCATTTGTACTTACCTGGCAGAAATAATCATAGGTAATAATATACAAAATCATAGGTGGTTTCTTGAAATTTTTCACAGGTTTATTATAACAGTCAGTAGTAACATAATACTGAAATTGTATGTTGATGATTACAGAGCACTAAAATGGCTGTGAAAAGAACAACTTCTGATCCTGGGCAGAGATTACACTTGACCTATCAGCCATCAGTTCAATCAACAAATAATCAGCAGCAGCAGCAACAGCAACAACAACAGCAGCAGCAGCAGCAGCAACAAAATAATCAGCCACAAGCTCAACCTACAGTTACAGACAGTTTCTCGATGACTGGTTATTCTGAAGACGGTGGTTACTTTAGTCCAAGTCTTCAAGACGAAGTGTTTCAGCAAGTCACCGCTGTTCCTGACAGTGTTCTGCTTCATGCTACTCAGTTGGATTCTCTTCAGGTAAGAAATTATGCTTCTTCAAGTGCATTGTTTTCATTCACTAAGTTAAAATATCGAAAATCTTAATCATAATTCGATGATTAATCCTTTTTGAGGCACAAAAAGAACATAAAGTCTCCAAAGTCGTAGGTTTTATGAAAGTATTAAGAAATTATTAATCATTCGATTTCTATTTTACGTCAATTCAACTTGAATGATGAATGAGAGTGAAGAATCATCAACCTACAATAAATCATTCATAATTTCCCAAATAAAGATGCATTACCGAAAAACGGAAGCTCTCTTCTAATTCATCTTATTTCTCCAAAAGTCTTAGTCTCGTGGAAAGTTAAGTTAAGAGAGGGCGTCGAGACGAAAAAGGAAAGAAGGCATTCGCATTTTCCTCGCTCATGTTAAGACACAATATCACGGAACCTTTGACGGTCTAATTAGTCCCGGCGTCTCATTATTCATTCCACGCGGAGCGCTGAAAACGCTTTAGTTTCAATTACGTCACGACCGTGGCCGCCTCTCCGGGCGTAGAATTTAATAAGGCGAATTATCTAAGTAGTTGGCACTGACTGCACCAACCAGCGATGCTTGCAATGCCGCTTTGTGCCGTTTGAAAAGCACCGGATACGCTTTCTCTCTCCTCTTCCTATCCTTTGGATATCACGCTTCTCTCGTTTTCGAACGTGTCTCGAACCTCTCGTCCTCGAGCAGTCTCGTTAATGTCTGACCTTACGGATACCAGACATTCCATCCTAATGCCAGCATCCGTATCCGTAGCTCGTGGAACGCCTTCGTTCCCTGAACTTTTCATCGACAATCATTTTGTCCCGTTGTGAATTTCATTTTTGACGATTGCAGCTCGATATCATCGATAGAATTTCATGAAAAATGTTTTACAGTTGAATAAATCGCGTTTAGTCCTGTGAAATCATTATTTCATCTTGATTTTCACTGTGTTAAAAGTTATCCAATATCGCCCAGACGAGTATTAATAGTTGGCAATGTTTTAATTATGTAACTATGTATTTCAGTTTGGTCAAAGTTTTTAAGTGAAAGGGATCAACGATAAAGTAAACCAAACTTACCATAAATCAAACCGTTCAGTTTCAGACAGCGAGTCTGCTGCAAGAACAGTCGACGGAGCAGCTGCAGGACATCACTCTGGAGGATCGATACTCGTCCCAGCACACGGTCAACCCGGACCTCCAGGCGTTGGTCAACTCTCCATTACCCGATTCGTTGGCTGAATTCAGTACTTATGGTGCCCAGTACACGGAAAGTCCGCACACCTTGCCCGCACAATCCCCGTTACCGTCGCCATTGACCAGACACGACAGTCCCAGTTTCACATATCCAACACCTCCGGCCAGCCAGGAGGGTCTCCTCACGGGTAGTTTTCCACTGTTGAGCCCGCAAGAGGATCCAGAAAGCGTACGACAAGTCTCGTCACCATTGTCGGCAGCTTTCTACACGACAACCATGTCTTCTGCCGCTGCTGTCGAAGAAGCTCTCAGCGAAGTGTTGCCAGCCGAATCCGAAGCGGACGCGGATCTCTATGGTTCCGGTTCACCCAATCCGCACTCTCCACTGCCAAGTCCTCTGTCCGCCACCCCAGCACCCTCGCCATTGTCATCCTTACCACCATCCTCGGTCTCGTCACCAGGTCCGGTGTCGTTCACCGGTACCAGCTTCCCTGTGTCGCCTCATCACGCTCTTCAGAGTCAGATGATGCCCAACTCGGAAGACCCTCTGCTATCCTCCACCCCGAAGGACTTCACCACCGCCAGTCGAAGACGATTCGAGTTTCAGTCGTACAAGTTCATCGCAAGCCAGAACTTGGTTGACTTTGGTCTGGGCAATGGTAGTTTGGCAGGGATCGTGGTCGACAACAACGGCGAGTTCAAGCTGATCCAAACAGCTGGCCTGCAGAAGACGAACGTGTTGGTTCAGACGGGTTCTCTGAGCCCGGCTCTCACTTTCAAGAAGGAAATGCGACTGGCGACACCCAAAGTGGAGCCAGTCACCGTGAACCTGGGCCTAAATGTGCACACCAACCATCAGTACAATGCTGGGCAATTTAACCAACAACAACTGGTGAACCCGGCTAAGTTTCTCATACAGACGAACCCTGCCAAGAACTGTAACTTCAGACAGAAGACGCCTAGCGGCAGTAGTTTACCGATTCCAGTGGAGCAGATCAAAGAAGAACTTCTCGACGAAGATGTGTTTCTTAATCCGAGCAACGTGCCTAACGGCAGCCCGGTCAGACAGTGTAGGAAAAGGCCGCGTATGGAGGGGAACTTGTACGCGAATCACTCGTATCCTTCGAGGTTACGAAAGGCATGCGATCGACACTGGGATAGTAGTTACACACCGCCACCCATATTGGACCCATCTCGTCCTGGACCTGGATTATACGCGAGGTTACATCAATACGAAAGGGATTCCGACTTTAGCTCGGATGATTCTCAAGGAAATGATGGACCTCCGCCTAGGATTAACATCGGAACGAGATACCAGGCAACGATACCACCTGTGGGTAGCGACGGGGATAGAGGAAAGGGAGAACCGGAAGCTGATCATCTGTTATGGGATCCTGGTATAAACAACGTGCTGACGGATAACGAACGTAAGTAATTATAATTTACATTCTTTTGATTAGAGGTGTAGACAGTTATCTCCAGTATAGAGATAGGCAAAGATCTATTGAAAATATATTTTTTTCACATCGTTATCACAATTGATTCTCGAGATACACGCTAATTTGTACTGCACCAGAGAAATTTAAACATTTACGCAAATAATTCTGAAGTTGACATTTTAAAATAAATTCTAATTATAAGCGCTTGATTAATAAGTTGGAATTCTTGGATATTTTCTCCATCGGTCTTCAAAGGAATATTGTTTTTTTGCAGTGGAGATGTATCTGCAATTTGCATGCTGCGCTGCGGTGCCTGGTGGGGGAAGAAACAAAGAGTACGCTCTTCATCTATTGCACATGTGCAGAGGAAACATTCATGTACGTTGCTTCGAATTTCATTTCATTATTATCACAGTTCTCCTTTCTGCGAACTAACTTAGTAAACGTACGGATTAAGATATTTAAAAAATTACAGATGCATGGAGATGAAAAGAGAGTGCATTCAGTTAAATTATATGTTATATGAAACTAATGTTAACATAATTCAATTTCTTATTTTACGTTATTAATGTGATTTTTATGATTTTTATGATCCTTTCTTTCTATTTTAATATAACGACAGTTAACTGTATTGGGAGGTAAATTATATAATTTCGTTAAAAATTGATAATTCCAACAGTTAACGTAAGAAAGCTTTTATTAATACCAATAATAATATAAAAACATGATTGAATTTGTGATAATAATTTGTCATCAGGAAGCGATGCTGAAGTTGATGAGACCAACGCCCTTATTGCCAGCTGAACATCCGTTGCTCAGTTACGAGTGTCACGAGTCGGACCGATGGACGTCGCAGGAAATGGACGCTTTCTACCAGGGTCTGTTGAAATATAACAAAGACTTCTTAGCGATTTCACGAGACGTGGCTGGCAAGTCAGCGAAACAATGCGTGCAATTCTATTACCTGTGGAAGAGGCTCTGTCCGGACGAATACAAGAGGCTGCGTGTTCGCCATGGTAAACCAAAGATTAAGACAGAGAGCAAGGATTGCAAGGACACGAGGGAACTTCGTGACGCCATTGCGTCTGTCACGGAGATGGACTTCAGCGAGGACAAATCGATTCTCCACCGCACCCTGGTAAGTTCACCAGTTCTCATCGACTTTCTAGTTATCCTTAGCTTAAGCCTTTACCAACTTTGAATTTATGGTACCCGAGATTACACTTGACGAAGAGGTTGTCGTTGAGAAAGTTAATTGATAGCAAAATATATCAGACGTATTTGTTTAACACCTTTGCTAACAGCGTTATATATTTCCATATGTAACTGCGAATTTCTCTTTTTTTTTTTTTTTAAATCAGACTCTGTCGTATAGTTTTAAAAATAAAAAAAAGTTATGTTTTATAGTATTTCGTGCTTAGTTAAATATTTGATCAAGGACAATTAATTTGTTCTTCAGTTACAGACAAACGAGAGAGAAAACTCGGCCACTCTGACCACCAGTGATGGAGAGCTGAGATTATTTGCATACGATTGCCCTGATGTGAGTACAACTACCTATAACGTTCTCTGTATTTTTTTAATTATATATATAAGCTTTATTTATACAAGAACGGTAAATTATTCGGATCGATGTGCGACTTTATTGATCTAAAAACAAGTAACGAAGTTTGTTTAGCTGCTGATCGTAACTCAATGTCGTCGCTTATTTTTTGACTAGGATTATACGTTGATATAATAACATTGATCATTTTAATATATTTCCTACATTTTTTTGTTTTTTTTTTCAACAGAAGAAAGCATAGATCGATCGTTAAGTGTTACTGTCTAGATAATTATCGAGACTACTACTTACTTATCTCTGTATCTTCCACCGAACATATGTTCTACTTATCGATGAGCATCGAGCACGAAACCTTTGAATAATCTGCGATGATCATCAATTTCTATAATTAATTCAAATTCTAATACAAATAATTATCAGAAATTAAAACACCATTTTATTCTTAGTTTTTAAATTTAATAATATTCCTTTAGATACTGTTTCTCATATATTAGAATACTCTTACTAAAAGTTTAGGTATTTAATAATAATTGTTGTACTGTTATATCCAAACTGATTTTTATTCTGATACAATTAATTAACTTTACTAAACGATCGAATATTTGAACGCAGTTGCAAAATGGATTCGTACTCGATGCATACATACGTACAGCGCGTATTGAAACCACTTAACATGCGTACATACACTATCGCTCAAAAATCTTAGGACACTTGTCGTTTTATATAAATTTTTTGGAATTTTATATACATAATGCTGAATATTTGATATGATTGCAATTCTAAAAAGAATTTTACAACCTTTTTTAATAACTATAATTCTATAGAAAAGGGAATTGTAAAACAGAGTACACAAACAAATTTAGCACAGGAGAAAAAGCACTTGTGAATATTTTTGCTCAATAAAATAGAACAATGTTATTGGAATTAATACAGACTTAATCAAGCGATATAACAAGTGTATCAATGAAAAACTATTTTAGCAAAATTTGCAACAAATTCTGTTTTATTATATCAGTGGCATATATATTAAAGCAGTACTACATATTTTCAACACATCATCGACTGCATGCCACCACGATTACAATAAATATCAAACCATATAACAATCTTATTCTTTTGCTAATTCATGTGATATTTAATAAGTGTCCTAAGATTTCTGAGCGATAGTGTACTGTTCGTCCACGAGAAGTTTGCATCTGAAGTGGCAGAGGGTCATTGGGGGATGTTCTTTTGCTCCGCCTCACCCTCTCTTAATCTCTAGCTTAATTCCCACCCATAGGTTCTGGAGGCTATACCACTGCTTTGAAGTCATCGTCACCCCATCGCTCAGTTCCAGTCACACTTGACCGAATCATTTCTTTTCTTCGTCAAGCGATTCGACCAATTACGAAAATACTTGCGATACGAAGTAGGGATATCGGATAATGGGGCATAGATCCCTATAAAAGTTTAGTCATGCCATCTTCTCGTGGACGTACAGTACGTGTGAACGTTTAAGTGTCGCATGTGATTTGTTGTTGAACCTGTCGTTTCTACTTTCTCACGCTTTCATTATCTCACAAGGAACGAGCGCGTTGTGCGTTTTTATTTTTTTTTATATATTTTTTTTTTTTTTTTTACTTGCGTGATCTGTTCACTTATCTGTCATCGTCGCCGCCCTCGTCGTCTTCGTCGTCATCGTCGTGGTCGTCGTCGTCGTCGTCGTCGTCGTCGTCGTCGTCATCGTCGTCGTTGTTGTTTGTTTGTGTTGTTTATTTTGGCTTTGTGTTTCTTTGTGTTGTCAGAGCTTTAGCGGAAGCGTAACAGTAACGATGGCCGGGAGCACCCAAACCGCCCAAACCGGCAATACCGGCCACGCCACAGTCAACACCAACTCACAAACTCACACTAGTTCTGAGCAACAACTACCCGTGCCCACCCCACTTCACTACCCCTGCAAGATTTGCGGGAAGTAAGTCTCCAATCTCTAATCTAAATTATCCGTTTCGAACAAAAATGACGGCCGGTCAGCCATTGAGACACAATAAAATAGCGCGTTCAAACATGACGGTACGAGGCGGGCAAGTATCCGGCACTAATCACAATAAATAGCGAAACACATACGCTTTTAGATAGAGAACAATCACTTTAACCCTTTCGCTATTATGGACGACTATAGTGAAACGACCAGTGAGTACTATAGGTGACTATAATCGTCCGGTGTATAACATTTATATTTTAATCAACCCTTTTGCTAAGGGACACTTCAAACGATAATCCTTCTACAAGACAGCAATTGCGATTTCATGATTAAAATTTTGTAAATTAGTTATTTGTCCATAGAGCGTATCCATCGTTTCTAGCGAAAGGGTTGAAATAGCATGCAATGGAAATTTTCGTTTGATTAAAGCTAAACAAATTCTCATTGCAAATAGAATTATTTTGTTTTCGTTCGGATATCGAGTTAGATGATTTGATATAAAAATGTACGAGTACAGTTTCTGGCAGTAGCGACCGTAACGAAAGGGTTAATTGCATACGTTCTCCATCAGTAGTCTCGAGTTTCGATTTTACATGTATTACTTGATGACTGTTACTGAATATCAGGGTAATGATTTAATTTGGAGGAATTTTATTAATTTCGAGAAAAAGAATTTATGGCATTTAATTGATATTTTCAGAAAATTTTAATTTATAAATTTAAAATCACTTCGCTTTGATTTCTGAATTTCAATAATCATTCGTAATTAAATGATACCAATAAATGTATACCATTTATATAGAATTGAGATGAAAAACGATCCCTGATATTCATTAACAAATCATGTTACAAACAATACCATCACAGAACAACTCATGGCGATGCTTGATATCCTGTTTGCTGCTCGAATAATTAACGCGGCTTTCTAATTAATATTCCATTATTTATGCCTTAACATGGAGTTGTAAACAATGATTTCGTAGCAGCAGGTTGGAGAAATCAATGTACCTATTATTCTTTACAAGTGAATTGCTTTGTATATTCCTTTAACAAAACTTATTGTAGATTTAAAGCATCAATTCTTTTTTTCCTACGTTTATTTAATTTTTATTTCTGCATCAAATAATTTTATTTTACAAAAATGCTTCGTTTAAAAATGTGCTACATTTGTGTTGTATTTTTATATCATGTAATTAATTCGATGTAATAGCTTGAATGTGTATACCAGAGAATCTTAATATTTTAATTGAAAGAAAATTTATTTCTTATCGTATGCTTTCAAAGAATGAACTATTTTTTTTCCTATAAAGTGTTTAAAAATTTAGTCATATATTTAAATTAGAAAGTATTGCTACTTAAATTTACGAAAGCCACAGTTCAAATAGTATACTTTTAGTGACATACATTTATTTTCTTGTATTTTATCAAATTTAATTTACGTTGCTGTCTTGTTTCATTCTTTTTTTCTATGAACAACTTTCAGTTTCATTCATTTGATAAGCAACGAGCTCAGTATGATAATCTGCAACACGTCAAGGTGAATAATCAACCGATAATAAATATTTAGAATGCTTGCATTATCATATAGAATCAGTAATTAATGTAAGAGCACATCATACGCATGATCCATCATTAATTACCTCAATGTTCATACGTCGTCGCTATTATAATTGCAAATATCAAAATTGTTATCTAATATTCTTAAACGAATACTTACAAACATCCAAAACTTGCACCAAATATTATACAGTCAAAAAACATGTTTTCAAAATATGCAAGGAACATGAATTTAAGGAGACCTGGACGATCAACGAAGTGTATTACAAACTGCTAATTGTTTCTTTTTTAACCCTTTGCATTCGTATGTTAATTCTTAGATTCTGCAGATTGATCCTACTTTGAAATGATAAATAAACAATTACGTGTTTCAGTTATTTACTTTCAGAAAATCATGCAATTTGAAATGAAACTTCGTCAAGAACTAGGTCTTTTTAACTTCATTCCATCCCTGTTCTCCCTTTCAACAATACCAATTTCATCGACACAGAAATCCATCGCGTAGTATGCTACGTTCCAAAGTATCGCATCAACTTTAATCCCTCGTCTGACTCGTTTATTCAACTTATCTTGCAGAGTTTTCAACAAAGTGAAAAGCAGAAGCGCGCACATGAAATCGCACAGGCCGGTGCCCTCGCCCGATTCAACGGGTCAGGAATCTAAAAGGCCGGTTCAGCAACAATCAAAAATGCAACAATCTCAGCAATCCAATCAACGCCAACAACAGCAGCAACAAGCTCAGCAGCAGCAGCAGCAACAATTGCAGCAACAGCCTCAACAGCAACAACAACAATCCAGCAGTGTATCACCGCAGGCCCAAGACTATAATCAGCAGCAACTGCCTCCTAGCAATGGCGACACCGGTGCTCAAAAGCCATCCCATTTATGGCACAACCCGACACGGCTCAGGCCACCATAGGACGACGCCCAGCCGGTTCAACTAAAGTTACCTTAACGAAGGCTGTAAACGGTACGGTAGGAAAAAAGAAAAAGCATTTGTAGACAGGTTATCAGCCTGAAGAAAAATAAAATTGCGATCGAGAAAAAAGAAGCTGGTCCACTGAAGCCGAGCCTCCCGATTCTTCCACGCTAGATATAGTGAAGAGAAACAGAAATAAATAAGATTACCTCTTGAAAGAGATACACGACGCGGTTCTCTACCAGGGTTCTCAGCCATATTTAAAACCTAAACGATATTCAGAACCGCCTGTATCGTCGTGCACGAATCGTAGGTGCCCGACGATAGAAGGGAGAAGTAGTTGTGAGGTCGTAGGTGAAGAGGAGACAGGGTAACCATGGAAGATCCCCTACGAGACGGAAGATCGACGATGAAGCTTAAATGAAAGTTGATCGTCGAAGGATACACAGGCATCTGTTTTTCTTCAGTTTCGATTTTCATCAGCACAACGGACCTTCTTTATCGATGTACAATGGCCTAGAGAGAAGAGACTCTTAATCAACGAGCAACCATCCAAACACAGAAACCGGATAGAAGTTAAGTTCGAACGCGACTTAAATAAATGATATATTTCGCCACTATGAGTGGTGGTAATATATTGAACGATTATCGCGATCATCGATGTACCTAATCGCACGTGAAATGTTCCCAGGATTGTGCCACGCAAGACATTACTGTTACCTGTTGCTTCTTTAAACGTTTTATCATTCTTTCCTTCCGATTTTCATCTCTTTCTCTTCCCCTCTCTTTCTCTCTCTCTCTCTCTTCTATTCTTCTTAATTTATCATCCAAAGGATCTATTGACGAACCGAATCGTTCGCATCGGTCATAGATAGAAAGATTTTTCGTTCGAATATCCTTTCAAACGATTCGATGAAACGAAGAATAAAAAGGTAAATGAAATTCTTGTTGATTGTTTTGAAAAGGTAGAAATAAGAACGATTTGTTGGGCGGTTCGTGAATAGTTTCTACTTGTTGCACGTTCGCTCTACTAGTTCTACTTAGTTTAAATCAGATTAGCGTATTTAAAATCTCGAGAATAAGTAAGCGACCCTTTGTCAGAGAAGCGTTCGTAGATTTGTTGAAACTCCCCCTCGCCCCGATTTTTGTTACCTCTCTGTTACTTAAAAAAAAATATATATATATATATATATATATTAACTATATTTGTCTGAATAAATTTTAATATATAAATATACACATTATACATATGTATAATAAACAGAATCGATGTAATTTGACGATGATTCAAGGTAGATTAGGCGAAGATATAGTTCTCTCTAGAAAAAGAGATGTTGTTCAAGTTTCACTTCGTCGTCTCGATCGATCGGCTCGATCGAGATCGGATGTAACATAAATGATTATACATACAGCCATGGGTACATTATTATACATAACATAACGTGCACCGATACACTGACACGTGAATTAGAAAATGCGTTTTATTATTAAAATGAAGAGATGAATATTTGTTCGACTAAAACGGGATCGTTCGATCGCGGCTCTATGTGTACATAATACGTGTACATTGTCTGTACATAGTCTCTAAACGTCAGTGTCTGTATGTACAATTCGAATGGATTTTAACGCAGAACACGTAGGATAGGTTTTAGGTTGTTTTTAGGAGGGATCTATATTACGAATAAAGTATATATACTTGGCTTGATTTTCTACCTAACTTAGGAGACTACGACCTCGAAAATCTTGAGTGAATTTCAATTTTTTATTATCATCTCGTTTGATCACACGGACAACGATGTTTTTGTACGTAAATCTTTTATATGCAATTCTGTATTCGAAATTTTCTCAAGGATTATTAATTTAGAATTTTATTCGATGGGTGACTTTGTTAATTGTTGAACATCTGCGGAAGAGAAATTGAAAATTCTAAATAACATTAATATTATAATATATTCTAATAGAATTAGTTTCTTATTTTTATGGTACTTAATTCCTTTCAAGTACTTAACAAAATCATATGTTCCTATTAACCCTTTTCTGGGTTTTCAAGTTTAATTCCATAGATGGTTTCCTCAGGCCATTATTTCGTTTAAGTACCCCTTTACCTAATTACTAAATACTAATTAATTTGATTTGGAACATTTAAAAACTAAAATCATTTTGTTTCATTTCTCGCATATACGTACAAAAACGTCGTTTCCAATCAAAATTTCCACGAGCTCTAATCAAATTTCGCGTTCAAAGTGATCGCTCAAGGATAGTTTCGTCGATCGTAGCTGCTCCTGACACTTTACCTTAAAGATCTTGTTATTGTTAACGCTCTTCTTCTTATTAACTTTTACCATTAAAATAAAAGGGAAAAAAGATCACGATATACATTTTAACTTTTTAAACTTTTCACGTGTATAAACAAAAAAAAAAAAACAAGCGAAAACGTAGATGAGAGATAAGAGAGGTGCAAGTGGCCGAAGGAAAAAGATGCGTTCGAGAGAATCTGCCAAGTTTTAAACGACAGCTTTTGAATCTTCCACTTGTTTTTAAACATCGACCGACCGATGGAATGTTTTAACGTTTCAAACTGAACAAAAACTAGTACATGACAGAAAATAAAAATACTTCCGTTTGACGTTCGACATTCGAGGAGATTCGTTGGACTTTAAGCTTACGAGAGAATCGTCTGTCCTTTGTGCGTGTATGAATGTGTGTATGCGAGCTGTGCGTCTTGTGTTTCTTCAACGTTTCCCCATCAACTAACGATCATCCTTGAATTCAGAAAAATATGTGTAACGCGCTGTTTTACAATCCGGCCGCACGCGATTCATTCATTTCCAGAGAAAAAGAGATGATGCTTGTTCGATGTAGAAGCGTGTATGACCAAAAAGAAACGAATGCGATAAAACGCACACGAACCATCTGATCCATAATTATTCTACGAACAGATCACACAACTTTCATTTAGAGATATAATATATACATACATATATTTTTAACGTTGATTAAACCTGATACGAAAAAATCAAATCAGTATTCGGTCGTTGCGAACGTTCCACGGTGTGTTTCCGAGTGTGTACTTATTTTCTGATCGATACTTGTATAGATACTTACTTAATTACGTGGATATATACTTCTTTGTGAACCATATAGAAAAAAGAGAACACAGGATTTTGTGAGAATCTGAGTAATAGCCTCCGGTTGAATCGAGCGTTGGAAAAAGGATCTTAAGGAGGCGCGCGTAATCCTAGAAGTCTATAATTAATTATGTAATTATATTAAGATCCTAGACGGTTCGACACTCTAAAAATAAGTTCATTTAAGAAGCGTGAAATTGTTGTACGAATTCTCCGACCGCGAGGCTCGGCGCATCAGTGGAATGCAACAAAATTAGCAGACATATCATTTAAGACAATACACTTGTTACAGAAACTAAGTTTCTACTAATGTAATTCTTATTGTACGTATTGTAATCTAACTCTTAAATCAGATTTAGATATCCGAGGGGAAACACGGGGTAGTTAATGATACTGAGGGATGGAATCAGATCAAATCCAGAGATTATGAAATTTTGGAGAAAATATTTTATTTTTTTTATATTTAAATAGAGTTTATTGATAGCTTGTGTTTCAGAAATTTCATTATTGGATAGATTGTAATTTATTGCAATTATTGTTATTAGATTATTAATTTCCAATTTGAAATGAAAAATATTTTATTTTTAATCCTAGTGGACAATAATGTGCTTACTTTTAAAATTACTTGATTTTCGTTTTTAAACTCTGCTCTCGTACTTAATAAAATTTCAGTGTTTAATAAAAAATTGACAAAACTCTGGATTTGAATTGCATGGAAGAATCAAAAAATCAAAATCTGGAGGCTAATTACTCAGAAGTTAGGGAAGGCACGAGGAAAAAAAAACGAAGCAATGAAACCGTAACGAAGATATGCATGAATTGTACAAACGAATCCCTCCACGTCACAGAAAAGAATGATATATATATATCTATATGGAGAATATATATATAACAAACGAAAAAAAATTGATAAATATGTGATGTATTTAAATGGTATGTGGTATATGGTATTATGTATTTGTACATAGGCGGACCCGTGCCATCAACTAGTGAGTTGTACCGATATTGTACTGCCATTAATCGTGTTTTAACAGGCAACATCGAGTGAATGGAACGGATTACGTTTACAGAGTACAATTTTTTATTTAAGAACATTTACTTATTTTAAGAACATTTATATTTAGCATTTGCTTAACCGATACCGCTACCGATCAAATGTAAGAATTAATTATAACGTACACATGATTTACATTTAATGAAAATTGTTTCGTTTGAAGCGTCGTTTAATCGTAAAATAGAGATCGAAATTTACCTAAGCTCGTTCCAAAGAGTATATTCTAAATCTTTTTCATCGTTTAAGTACTCTTCGCTTAGTATTAAAATCATAAGGGAAACGAGAAGTACAAAAAATAGTTATCGTGTACAGTATTTTCATTGTTACCATTCTTTTCTTTTTCTTACAACGATACACGAGGTTTGATGATTTCTTAATAAATTATAATTATTCATTTATTTTTTTTCATCTATAACGCCATAGACTCGAATGTTGAGAAAAATAATCGTTCATGGGTCGAATAAAATGGCGAGTTAACGTCGCTAGAATCTATAAATATTATATTGGTACAACTCGGCGAAGAAAGTGTAGCGTGGTTATACACCTGAGGAATGTGCTCAAAACTACTGTATTAAAAAACAAAAACGAGAAAAAGAAAAGAAGTCTACGTTAAACGGTCGTCAAACGTTTAATAATCGCAAAGGAATCACTCTTGACGCAAGTGAAAAGTTATTTATTCGATTATATTGATATCGTAATATCTTATTGTCCTCTTACAAACTATTTACCTACTTTAATGTCTATCTCTATAACGCCAAGCATGGTTCTTTATACTCTTCTATTTGATGTTATCGCTATTCTCTATTGTAACTTTTACTACGAGGATGAACAAGACAAAGAAAAGATAAAAAAAAAAAATAATCAAGAAATGTATTGTTAATAATAGTGTTTTTAATGTATTCGAGAGAATGGTCAGCTGTAGGAGAGCCACGGATTTGTGATGTCGCGTTTCATACGAGTATCAGATTCGAAGCGGATGAGAAAATTTTGCAGGATCAAAAAAAAAAAAAGAAGGAAATTTCGAATTTTCCATCCTCGTCGTTCGTTTCGTCGAATCTCTTTGTTCCTCGGGCGAATGATCCCTCGTTCTGTCGTTACCAAAGTATCGGTAAAGCACCGAAGAAATGTGCGTGACAAACACGGTGTCCAGAGTGTTCGTATGACGCTGACAAAAATTTTCTATTTCGCAATAATCACGATCGAGTGAAAGGAGAGGAACGCGTGTGTGTTAACTCGGTAGCAATATCGGTGATTGGTGCGCGCATGCGCATTCGGCGTCATACTCGGTAAGCGAATCGGTAGCCGTGCGCGACGATGGGTAAACATCGAGCCTGAGGTATCGCGTGGTCGGACGTTCAGTGTTGATCGAGCACGCGATGCCTCACGAACGGCTCCGAGCGGCTCCGAACGGCACCGAACGGCACCGAGCGGCACCGAACGCGTTCACGCGTACGCCGTTCACTGTCGTTGTTCTTTCCACTTCTCTGCTCAACTAGTTCTTACCTGTAAGCGTAGCTGTGTATAACACTAAAAGAAACTATATTCCTCTCGTCACGCTAGTGAATTTTAAAACGAACCCCCTCCCCCCGCCCCCCTTTTATCAGCCGGACTCCGAAACATCGTCTTTTGCTCAAAGCGAGAACGGATACGCCTGCTTTTCCGAAGCAAGCGGATCGCAGACGAGCCTCTCGTGACAGGAAATACTGTGCAATGACGTCGCTCAAACGTTTTGGTGCCATAAAGCAATATGGACAATATAATTAATTAATTGTGTTAGATACGTGGTGCGCTAAACTACAGCTGGCCCGAGATGGATTCGATTTTAAAGGATCCTCAAGACGCCGTGCGATCGTGCCGTGAGAGTAATTTCTATTTCTCTAAGTGGCAGGTTTTATCATCGTATATGTATAATTTTCAACGTGAACCGACACTAGTGCCACTTAGCGAAGTAACATCAGTATTCTCGCCCGGTCTTTCATCGACACCCGAGGTGAATTTGAAACTTTCTTTCACTTCCGTAGATTCTATACATTCTAAAATTTCGAATCAGTCTAATTCTGTCTCTCGTTTTTGCTGCATCTCGTTCGATATTAGAATTCTAAGCATCACCGAGAGCTACTCTGAAAGCTGTCGGCTCTCGCGGATCGATCGCGCGATGTATGTTTATTATACAATTTACAGTCAATTGAAGCGCGATGTGGTTACGAGTTCGATCGAATGTCGCTACGGCCTATCGATTCTCCCTTCGATCGTCGACGAGGGTGGGAGATAAAAACGAAGGAAAGACCCCATAGGAGGCCTAGAAAACCCCCTTTGACCAGCGACTGACTCCACCACATTGGTCTTCGGCCAAAGGAAACGGCACAAACGTGGCTGATACTTGAGATCCTGCGCGGTTTTGAGTCGATTGTCAAACAATTTATTCGATCTCCATCAATTCTTTCGATCAATTTTTGCAGAAATTAAGACGCTGATTTTCAATCGCGTGCGATCTCGAGATTGGCCGATGAGAATCAAAGAGCTCAATGTCCGGCAAATGTATTGATAATAGTCTGAGATATAATGATGAAATGAACGATCAAGGATTTGTTAATTAATAAAGATGGAAATTATTGGCTCAGCCGTGACAATGAGCGTCTGTGCATCAGTATTACGTTTGAAAAGCGATACTAATATACATTGGTCTAGTGATTATACATTATTCGATTTTATTTAGTGTGTGTATATATATGTACACATATTGAATATGAAAGGGCGATATTATTATTGATTATTATTTATTATTATGTGTATAAATATGTGGGAATATATATATTTATATGTATATTATGTATATAGATACTTATACATATAGATATGTATTTACGTGCATGGAAGGTTCAAAAATTTCTGACTTACAAGTTTTTCATCTTTAGTCTCATTTTATTTTGCAATCAAATATAATTACAATTATTCCAAATACGATTTTCATTTAACATTTTTCATAAATACTACGAAATAATATTAATATTTCTTCTGATTTTATTTAATTCGTTTTAATTAAGGCCAAGTCTATTTCGATTTTCCATTTGTAAATTAAAATTTAAACAAGAAATTTTTGGATCTTGCTATGTTTCAGCGCTGATAATGTGCAGGGAGTAGGAAGGTCGCGGTTTCAATCTCGATGTTGTTCATTCGTGTATGGGAACGGTGAGCGATGGGATTTCAGTATATTATTTTGGAAATCTAATGATTGAACGTTTGTTACGATATTCTGTTCTTTTAAAATGTTCGCATGCACTATTATTTATAAGTAACGTAACATTTGATATGTTTTATAGCAGTGTTATTAAATTATGTTAATTAATTAGTGAATTTGTGGAAAGTCATAATTTTAATAGAAGGTTGATTATTTAGCAAGGCTACCGAAATCCCTAACTCACGAATGCGCAGGAGTATTAAATGTGTAGCCACAGAATAATACTGTCACCGGAAATAGGCGTGAAATGCAGGAAGAAAGAAAGGAAAAAAGATGTTTTAATACTCAGATGTAATGTATAATCTAACCGTCGTTTATAAATGGATATATATATGATGATGATGATGAACAGTGAATATATGAAATAAATATATATATATTATTACTGCAGCGCATACATAGTATATATATATATATTGGTGTGCGGCGATCTATATTATATAAATATATATATACATATGGACTATTTTCTTCTATTGATATTGTGAGTGACTGCTGCGTGTTAATTTCCATCGTACGCTGCAAGGCATTCTGTAATCGGCGACGAAACGTGAGACGAACAATTTTTAATTAAAATTATTTACAGTCGTATTAATTATACCTCCCTCAGACCCCATATGTCAAAATACATAAACAATAATAATTTTCATGTAACAGATAATGTCTTCTTCAATTACTATTTTATTACCGTTAAGTGTGTCTGAGAATTAATTAAATAATTCTAATTTAATTATAAAGAGTTTATTGAAATTTTGTCGAGTCTTTGTAAATGAAAAGTTCGTCTCACGTAAAGCGGAACGTCTTGCAAAAGCTATCCCAACACCGAGCTATACCAACAGCGAAGCGACTAACAAAAGAAAGATAGAACGAAAAACCAAAAAAATGATAAAAGTAAAAGAAACGAAAAAAAATATGATGTATGATGTGTAAGCCAAGTGCCTTGTGTTCTGGTAACTAATCGTTGACTTTTAACTACGATATTAGAAGAAATGAGAGAACGAGCGAGAGACACAGAGGAAAGACGAGGATAGAGATTGAGGTCGAAGCTTTTCGTTTTTTTTTTATATCAGCTCGAGAGATAGTGGAAACGTGTTCTTTGGTGGAAGAGGAATATCTTTTTATTTTATCCTTCCTTTCAAAATCGTCGCTGAAACCTGTGTCCGTTTCTCAAATAAATCAATTTAACTCTTTGACTGTCTTTAGATATTTCATCTTCTTTCTCGTGTCTAACGAAAGAAAATTAGTTAATTATGAATTTTTACAGTCAAAGAGTTAATCGTGCGTTGTGTTGCAGATTTAACAAACTAATTTTCTGCGAATAACCATCAAAGGGATATACCATGGCACTATTCTCCGGTGTCATTTTTGTGAAGCGTTTTAAAGTATCTGAACGATGTAGAAATTATTTAGATAAGGATTCACTTCGAGAAACAAGTCTTCTATTGAATTGTAACTACGTGCCAAAGCGCATTGGTATCGCCATTATGCGCCCAAACCTCTTACCCTTCTTCCATGTCGAAAAACTATTTTGATAACCTATTTTCTTTAGATTTACTACACCTTAGTAGAAAAAATAATTGATCTCAAACAGCAAGAAATTCGTTAACATGTCTACCACAGAGATTACTTGAGTTAATTTAGTTTTAAATTAGCTGTCATACTCTATCTTTACTTAGAGTAAAATTAATTTTACACACGATTCAGGTATCATTGCTTTATTGTATAATGCAATGGGAAGTTCTGATTTTTATGTGGTTTTAGTCTTAAAGCAATTATTCTGAATTAAAAAAATTGGCGTAACTGGGTGGCCAAGGCGAGTCTGGCCCCCCTAAAAATCTGGACTGATACTTTTTCAAAAATGTGGACCTTCGCTAAAATGTTAATTACGTCCAGTTATTTCTGCAACGCGTTTGACTTAGATTTAGGTATAGCTAGCAGGAACGGGAGACAATTTTTTTATTTCTAGCGGAAATCGTTTGGTGTTGCGATAGACGGCGAATAATATGTTGAACTAATATGTGTGTACGTATGTGCAAAAAAAAATCTGTGAACGACAAGAACACGTCGTTTCTTTCCGGCGATTCTGCACACTTCATGTATATCCTTCAACTACGAGGTATGAAACGTTAGCTATGTCTAAAAGGAATTGATGTAAATAGTAGATATCTGTCGATAGATAGTTAAAGTGTCGTGGCCGAGGGAGCTTTGCATTCATGATGCATCGAATGAACAAAAATTGTCATTTATTTTCAAATTCAGATACTTCGAATATTCGAAATTTATCAAAATCTATTCAAAAGTTTGGCTTGCAGATACGTGCAAACAAAATTTAACTATTGTCTGACCCAGCATCCCTCATTTGAGGGTTAAAGTCATGGGAGGAGAAGGGAGAAAAATTCTTTGAAAAGAAAATGAATTGATTGCCTCATGGATGCACTGAATCGGATGAGAAACCCCTTAAGCAGACAATCCTCCGTTAATTAGTCCTTAAATACGCGCGTGTCGTGTCTCTGTGCATGAATGAAGTACAGAAAGTATTAATTCGTTAAGAAATTAATTGTAACCCTTTAACTCTAGCTCTGCCCTAATGTTTTTTCTCGTTCCTCGGATAGTTACAGGTATACCTAATTCCTAGTAAAAGCGGATACGAAATACGTTTCACTAATAAATAAAAAATCTACAGATTGTTTAATTTTTAAAATAACTTTTAGAGATTATTAAACGAGTGCCAATGAATAAATTGATCAATTACGTAGAGGTATCTTCGTATCCGCTTGTCAGCGTGCTACTTCTTCCTCTTCAATAATCCCCTGTAGACATTTAATAATCTCCTCCTTAAATTTAAACAAAAATAGTCGCTTCGTGATCACAAGTTTTCGATCTTTGTGTTTTAATAAGGCTTCGAAACGATCGAATATTTTCTACGATTTACATTTGTTCGAATATGCTTAAGAGTATGATTACCTATTATGAAATTTATAGTGAAATTTATCATTGATGATCGAATGGTTGGGCCGCTCTTAGAAACTCTCAAGTGATGTAACAAGAAAATCTTATATTTCAAGTCAAACAATCGCATAACCCCTCCATAAATTTGTATTACATATAAAGTGTCATAATTGTGATTCTACTTATTGCTGTTAAAAATTAGGCTACTGAAGTTTATGGAAATGTATACTATACTTTTGTAAAATATTTTCTCTGGTAAAATATTTAATAGCACTTTGCTTCGCGTATTTTGAATACTTTGCATAAACAACTGCAGTCTACTTATTATATTTTACTTTCTCAGGCTATGTATAGATAAACCTTTAATTTATTCATAAAATTATAATTGTAGAAATTTAAGTCAAAAGGTACGATTGGAAAGATTTGACAAAGTGTTAATATTATAGTTGAATTTTGTACAATTTTTGTAAAATTTATCTAATTAACAAAAATCTCTGCTTTAAGTCGAAGGGGTTCAGCACCGAATAATTAAGAAACATAATTAACACGTTGACTGCCAAACTTACAATTTCTCAATAATTTAACTTTTGTTTTCCCTTATCTTCTTCCAGTTATTTAATTATATTAAATTTCTAGTATTTGCCATTGATAACTCCCCATGGCAGTCGACATGTTAACGAACGGGTAAAATTTAACGATCATCAAAAAACTTTCGTAAAGCCTTTATCGATACCTTCAATTTTCCAAAGGAGTATTTATTCTGTATTACATTTATGATTTGTGAAAATTGTCGGTATCGATTAGACCTGGATAAGTTTTATTTAAAATTATATTACATAATTATTAAAAAATGATCATCTTCAAAATTATTTCTTGAAATAAAATACTATAATTATATTTCGAAAATAGTATAATAATTATAAAATAAAATAATATGTTATTTCAAAAGAGTCCAGGTCTAATATTAAGGAATCAAAATAAGCAATGAGAATCAAGAAATAAAAAGAAAGGACACGGGCATCGCGAAGGATATCAAAACCGTGATCGTTCGCAGTCGTTGAAAACGAAACGCTTAACAATAAATACCGTGCCAAATATCGTCGTTGCGATCGAACAAATTGTTCGAGAGTACACGACGTTCTAAATCAAACACTGCTGAGAATCAAAGAAAAAAATCGACGTTCGCGTTTAATTCACCGAAAATTCGACCCGAAATGAAATCCTTGTTCCTCTTCCACTCGTCTCTACGTACGCGTTGTAAGACACTAATTAGCGAGAAAATGTGGTGGGGTACCTCGTAGCCCAGAACGGCGAACGTGTAGTATGCAATAATAATTCTGTATAAAGAGTCTGAATTTTATATGTGTCGTGAAGAATGCTGTGCGAGAACAAGCACGATATTCCCTTTTACCCTTTCCTACCTCTCCTATATCCTTTTGATATCCTGCGACTTCGTGTGTTTCAAAATGTAGACACTTAAGAAAAACTACGCGAGTAGAAACATGATTGCCCTCGAGAGTCGAAAATCGCTGGCTGGAAAATCAAAATTGACAATCAAAATAGAGGGAGGGATTCGTTGGAAATGTATCGAGAAACAGTGGCAAAGTAAGGAACCGAAAAAGTGGCAAATTTTCTAATATTCGATATTCTTTTTAAACGTGGGCTCTCGAGTGCATTCTAGCGCGAGAAAAATTGAGTTTTAACCCTCTAATGGTGAACTATGAAAATTGTAATAACTTTAAATTTAATTTTATATTTTATATCCTTTTCATTTTCCAAATTTTCTACTTTCTATTTTCATTTTTCTATATTCATCAGTCTTTGAAATTTATTTCTCCTTTTCTAAATTTTTAATTTCAATAGTTTCAACCCTTTGGTTTAAAATTCGTATGCCTAAGTTTAGTCGAAATATTATTATATAGAGTTTAAAAATTTGATTATGATTGACCTGATCTAGGTTCACCATTTCAGGGTTAATGAACTTTTACTCGTGGAACTCTGCGTGCTAGTTACTATTTATGTGAACAATATATGTGTATAGTTATACAGTGTACACAATAACAGTGGCTGAAGCTCCAAAATCAAAATGCACAGATCTAAAAATGCGCGTCATGGTGGCGGTGTTTCGTGATTAATCTACTTTTTAAGTATCGAAGATCAAAGCGAACAGACAGGTAATACCCGATTCGATTCGAGAACCTCAGACATCGGTGCTGAGTAAATGAAAATGTACACCAATATTCACATTGTCGATTTATGTTAGAAGAGTGACATTAGAAAAAATAAATTTTTCAAGAAATCAATTTGATATTTGCTAAGGCTGCTAAGGTCTAATGTATCTCAAAATTAATAATTTTTTAAACGTGTCACTCTTCTAGAAAACTAACAATACATGGAATATTTGTAAGATCAACGATTCTTATTGCGTCAAATTATTTTTGCAAGAAAAGTTCTTCAATCAGAGCTGAACATAATTTATTTTTGAGCCTCCCAGCGTGTAATTTATATGCAAAAAGACAAACCAGTTATGATAGAAAAATTTATAGAACATTTCTGAATTGTTATTTTAAAGCTATAAATCTCGATACAAAATTCTTTCATAATTTAAATTAAAGAAAAGAATTTTGAAACAAAATCATTCTTCAATGTAACCTTTATATGTATAACAGAATTTATATTGAAAAAGATTGCAAAATAAATGAAACAAAACTGGTTGAATACTATTAAAAAATCAAAGAATCGAATGTAAGAGGATAAAAGCAAAACTAAACGAGCTAGGCGTCTGACATATCAAAAGACAGAATCCTTCCTGACGAGAAACCACACAGCAATACCATTTCGCTCAATAAAGAAAAAGATATCTATCAAAATGTTTTAGAAATATTTTAATTCTCTGAAGTTTAAGAACTCTACATGTTAATAAAAATAGTAGTCGAATTCAGGTGCTGAATGTTTAGTTCTAACTTCAATGTTCCTTTTATAAACTTTATTAACACTGCAAACATAAAATTGCTATCTATGAAACTTCCAATTCTTTGATATCTCTATCTTCTATTAATAAATTTTCTGCGATAGTGAAAATTGAAATTGTAAAAGAATTACCAAACGAGTGATTGTTACTTTTTGGAATTTTTAACAATTCCAACGATTCTTTCTAAAACAAAAAGATGGATGTCATACTTATCGCTTAAAAAGTGTTTAATAAACGTGCTCGAAAGAAAAACTACGTAAAATGAAGTCGTATCAGAAACGATCTTGAATATAACAGAATCTATTGTATAGATATAAATATATGATCGTATTAAATGTACACGAGTAAATGTTTGTATGTCTCATTTAACGAGAAGAAATCAAAAAGACGACGAGCAAGAGAAACGAGCCCAGTGTTCGATGCACCACAGACGAAGACACATCTTTGTAAAATAAATCAAAGAAGTGAAAAATAACAAATTCCATCAGCTGTATAACTGCTGAAATGAATACGACGAAGAGAATAATTCATTTAAGAAAAAAGAAAAAAGCGAGGATACGTACAACAGTACAAGAAACAAATGTTTGTAAGATATCAATTAAGTCCCGAAGAGTTTTACATTAAAAACAAAACTAATGCTACGACGAAGACAATGTAAATGTATGAGAGGTCTGTTATCTTCCTTTTCCCTTTTTCCCTTCGAAAAATATCCTTCTTCAACATCCTGTTCCTCCCTCTGTACGACGAGTGTATAAAAAAAAAATATCATGTAAAATTTAACGCACCGATTAATATAAATATATAAATAAATGAATGAATTATATATATAAATATAAATATAAATATAAATATATAAATATATAAATAAATGTATGTATACATGTGTGTTATGCGTGTATCTGCGTGTGTGCACTTACCCACCAGGTGTGTGTACACACTCAGCTGTACACCCTAACGAAAAAAAAAAAAAAATGATTGATTGTGAGTCATTTAAATAATTGTTATATGTATTTTCTATATATTATGACAACTAATACAATGATATATATATTGAGATGACATTACGATACTATTAACTAAGTGTAGTTAAAATTAGTCAGGCGAACGCTCGCGTTACAAGAATGAGATAGGAAATGAAAAAAACAAACGTTGGATCGCTCTAGTCCAATATTTCTATAAATCTCGCTAAATAAAAGGGGAAGAAAGGAATAAAAAAAAAAAAGAAAAGAAAGAAAATGATATCGTGGCGGAAAAAATGACGAGCCAGCGTGCACGCGACGCGAAATATTTAAAAGAAAAACAGAAAAAAACGGAGAAAAAATAGGGATCGAAACGAGACATACTCGAAACGCAGAGAAACGCTTTTATTCCTTCTCGAGAACGAATGAAAATGACAGAATAAATTATACGAATCGCTTGCCGTCGTTTCGAGTATGTTCGTTTCGTATTTGCAAAACACAAAAAAATAACACTGAGTGAAGAAATCAATGTGGAATTTGCAACAAACGAAAAAAAAAATGTATTTTCTCACTCCCACTGCGAGGTGTATGTTCATCGCTACATCTTATTTGGAACGAAAACCTAAATATTATATTATTATATAAAATTACTGTATAATTGTAACGAAAATTGTTTTTCAAACGATGTGGTATTTTTATTGTAGATATTATTATATAACAAATAAAATCATGATTCATTGTAACTGTTTTAAATTCTACCTTATAATTTAAGTTCATTTTAAGTTTGATAACCTGGAGTTTTTAAATTTATGTTTCTTAACTTCTAAAGTTAAAATTGTAATTCTCATAATTTCATTTTACTTAATTGTTTATGAAATAATTTCTATAATAGGTACTTGTTATCAAAACTTTATTCAATTAACTAAAATTTCCTTAAATACATTATTTCATTTCGAACTTAAATTTAGAAAAATAAATTCTTAAATCATATGTATAAAGCGCAAAGACTTCCGTCCGTATCACTTTTTATCTGTGCTTCGGGGTCCCGAACACCCCAGGATGATATGTCGGTATGCAGTTTCACCGGTGCTTCGGGGTCCCTGAAACCCCGGATACCACAATGTCGGTATGTAGTGTTACCTATGCTTTGGGGTTCCGAACACCCCAAGATGATACCAGGTCGGTATACAGAGAGCACCGTTAATTCATCGGGGTCCCTGATACCCCGAATACCACAAAGTCGGTATGTAGTGTTATCTGTGCTTTGGGGTTCCGAACACCCCAAGATGATACCAGGTCGGTATACAGAGAGCGCCATTGATGCATCGGGGTCCCTGGCACCCCGAATACCACAAAGTCGGTATGTAGTGTTATCTGTGCTTTGGGGTTCCGAACACCCCAAGATGATACCAGGTCGGTATACAGAGAGCGCCATTGATGCATCGGGGTCCCTGGCACCCCGGATACCACAATGTCGGTATGTATAGCGTTACCCGTGCTTCGGGGTCCCTAACACCCCAAGATGATATCGGATCAGCATATAGAGAGATTAACCGGTGCTTCGGGGTCCCTGACACCCCAAAATGATATCAGGTAGATATGAATTTACCCCCTGTGGCTCGGGGGGACTAGAATACAGCCACGGTATCCCCTGCCTGTCGTAAGAGGCGACTAAAAGGGGGATGTAAAATAGCGAGTAAGACAATAAAAGTATTGCAAAAATGTGAGAGAGAAAATGTAATTGGCAAGGTGACAAATGTATTGCGAGAAAAGGGTTAATGTAATGTGAAAAAGGCGCGTAGCCGTTAATTTTCGTAGGGCAAAATTTTTGTTTCCTTAACCCTTATATTACGTCGCCCTCAAAAGAGGAAAACTTATATCATATCAGGTCGGTATGCTGAGAGCGCCATCGATGCATCGGGGTCCCTGGCACCCCGGATGCCATAATATCGATATACGAAGAACATCATTGGTACTTTGGGGTCCTTAACATCCCAAGTCATCTAGTCGTTAACTTACCGACTGCTGAAGGGTCGATTACCGACTGTCAGAAGATTAGTCGATAAGTCGGTAATTTATTGAGTAGTTTCCGCCGCTTTTGTATAGATGGCGCTGTGGTCGAACTTTAACCATCCCAGGCGGTCTTCTCAAAATATAAGTTTGTCGAATAATTATTCTAATAATTTTTCACTCTTGTGCTGATTTTGTCTGACTTGTAACTTATAATTTACTCAAAATTAAATACTTTCGAATATTAACACAAACGCAAGGGTAATAAATTATTTACTTCACTTAATCATTTCTGTAAAAATTTGTTTATTGTTTATCGTCAGTAAATTCTTACACAGGTAATTAAAATTCCATTATATACAATTTTATTTGTAATCTAAACTTAGAATAATATATTTTCAACACTAGAACAACCAGTGTTGATGCACAGAGAATAAGTTAATGTATAAAATTGATTTTTTAACCGTTAATTATCTGCAAGCTAAGAATTTAAATCATTATTATTACAAATTTATGTCGAAGTCTTTAAAACTTTTCGAAAAATTTGCATTTCTCAATCTGGTATCCTCATTAGGAAATCTGAAATTCATAATTTTGGTTGTTCTAGTGTTAAATAAATTATAATTAGCTCAAAACCATAGCTTATTTACACACGTTCAAACAATTACACGCAAGTATAGCAATAAATACAGTCACACGTATCTTTTTATCAAACTCCGGAAAATTAGTGGTCAGCACTCTACGGTTCCAGGATAATCACAGGAATTGGTAATTGTATTAAATATTAAACCAAACTGGCAATAGAATCCCTTAGGCACAGCATTTTCATGTTGGCAGTGATAAAACTTCCTGCAGTTGAAAGGGTCCCGGAAGTATCCTTGCCTTGTACAGGTAGGTATAAGAGGCACTGCTGGCACTGTTGGAAAAGAATGCATCGCAGGATCTTGAGGTGGTAGTTGTTCCATTGACGATAACGTCTTCTTATCTATTTCATGAACTTCTACATAGTTTCCTTTCAGTCCAAACGTGAACGACAGACTGCAATTTATCAGAACGATGACCAAACATAGAAGTAGGAAACGCATCTGGAAAAATACGTAAACATTGTGAATTTTTATATCTTTTCTTAGATGACATAAAGAGTCAGAAATGTTAACTTTTTTTAATAACACAGTTAATAATAAAAAATGTAATAAATCATTTGTTCAATCATTTATTCAATTTCTTACTAATTACATAATACACTTCGTATTGCATTACAAATTACAGTTAAGAAATTACAATAGAAAAATTTGTAATACACAAGCGTAAATTTTCTTATGTATATAAACATGTATCCATTTAAAGACACGAATCAAACGAGTTGTTTAAACTCAACACATTCATACTGTCGATTTATGAAACATATAGTACAAAAAAAGTTACTATGATAAAACATACACGCAATACATAGTCTAACGAATTTTGATAAGCAAGCAAAACAATAATAGAAACATGTTTATGAAATTTTCATCAGAAAAGCATGAAAATCACATTTATCAATAATGAATAAAAGTTGAAAGTGTCCTTAAGGACATTATTTAATGTAACATGTACATACTCACATTGAAGACAGAAAACTCGAAAGATTTGAATGATTTCGGTGTTGGCGCGTGGTTAAATCGATTAAAATTCTCGTATGACGCTATCAGTTGGTTTTCACTAACTGGTGTTTACGGTGAGTGATATCGTTCTTATATATGCGACATGTTACAAACGATGAAATCATCAACGCAGACTGTTATGTATTACACTCATAGACCCGATACGTAGAAGTTACATTACGTGAAATAATACGGGGAAATGTTTAGTATTTTCATCGCTGACGCTACGATAATTCGAATTTTTACCTTTTACATTGCTGTATGTACGTTGCAAATTTTTATCGTATCGAGAAAGAATTCCAGAGTATATGATTCCGACCCATGACCCCTTTCGTGTTTCTAGGATAAGGTGATGTACCGTGTCATCCAACGATCATTATGGCGTTTCCACTAATTGATAAGCAAAATTAATAAAATTTTAATTACCAATAAAATCGAATGTTGCTTTTCCCATAATACTTGACCTGTTTGGCCTTATAAGGCGATTTCTGTTCTATAATATCGTTGAATAACAACATTAAAATGAATTCGACGCATTAACAATTTTAAAATGCTATTCTGATTAAGTGGAATACTGTTTTGTAACTAATTAATATCCCCAACAACAAATCAAAATATCTTACTGAGATAAGCTGAAAATAATTTACAAACTCTACTTTTATATGTTTTTAATTTTTAAAGTGCGCGCTTTGAAAACACATCGAGCTTGATTCGAAAGTTAGTTGTCAAAATAATAATTAATTATGCTTAGTTAATACCGATTTCGAAAGCGAATGGCGTCGAGAGTGGGGGCTCTAGACGCCTTTGCACGCGACCCGAGTAGAAGCCGACACCGGGTGCGACCCTCGGTGTCGGTCACATGCTAGGCACCAGTCGAGGTCTCCGGAGTGATATACATAAAGTCCCGGAGCCCTCCTTTAGCGCCAGTGTTGGTCGACGTGGGGTTTTAGTCAGTAGGAATCTGACACTCCCCCGCCGCCCTCCCCCAGGGGACGGTGGGGGGTCTTATGCAAGATTTCCCCACGTTAAAAAAAAAAAAAAAAAAATATGCCTCCAACCTTTATATTCCCCCCTCCTTTACACCCATGTATTCCTTACTTCCCTGCGACCCTTTGCATCCCTCACATCCTTGTATTCCTTACATCCTTGTATTCCTTACTACTTGTATTCCTTACATCCTTGTATTCCTTACATCCTTGTATTCCTTACATCCTTGTATTCTTTACATCCTTGTATTCCTTACATCCTTGTATTCCCTACATCCTTGTACTCCTTACATCCCTGTATCACATACATCCCTGCGTCCCTTATATTCCTAACCAGAGATTGAAAAATCGTGATGATTTTAGTTCCTTTTTTCCCCGCCAGATGGCGCTGACCCGACTTCGAAAATTTAGTTCACATTTTTGCCGCTAGAGGGCCAAAATTGTTGCAAGCTTTAGTTCCTTTTTTTGAAACCAGATGGCGCTGACTCGACATCGAAAATTTAGTTCACATTTTTGCCGCTAGAGGGCCAAAATTGTTGCAAGCTTTAGTTCCTTTTTTTGAAACCAGATGGCGCTGACCCGACTTCGAAAATTTAGTTCACATTTTTGCCGCTAGAGGGCCAAAATTGTTGCAAGCTTTAGTTCCTTTTTTTGAAACCAGATGGCGCTGACTCGACATCGAAAATTTAGTTCACATTTTTGCCGCTAGAGGGCCAAAATTGTTGCAAGCTTTAGTTCCTTTTTTCGAAACCAGATGGCGCTGACTCGACATCGAAAATTTAGTTCACATTTTTGCCGCTAGAGGGCCAAAATTGTTGCAAGCTTTAGTTCCTTTTTTCGAAACCAGATGGCGCTGACTCGACATCGAAAATTTAGTTCACATTTTTGCCGCTAGAGGGCCAAAATTGTTGCAAGCTTTAGTTCCTTTTTTCGAAACCAGATGGCGCTGACTCGACATCGAAAATTTAGTTCACATTTTTGCCGCTAGAGGGCGCTTTTTTACAGGGATGTAAGGAATGCAGGAATGAAAGGGGTGCCGTGATGTAAGGAATGCAGGAATATAAAGAAAGCTGACATGTGAGGAGTGCAGTGATGTAATGGGTGCAGAGATATAAAGAAGAAGGAATGTAAGGAATGCAGGAATATAAAGAAAGTTGGCATGTGAGGAATGCAGGGGTGTAATGGGTGCAGGGATGTAATGGGTGCAGAGATGTAATGGGTGCAGAGATATGTAGAAGAACGAATGTAAGGAATGCAGGAATATGAAGAAAGCTGGCTTGTGAGGAGTGCAGGGATGTAATGGGAGCAGAGATATAAAGTAGCAGGGATGTAAGGAATGCAGGAATGAAAGGAGTGCAGAGATGTAAGGAATGCAGGAATATAAAGAAAGCTGACATGTGAGGAGTGCAGAGATATAATGGGTGCAGAGATATAAAGAAGAAGGAATGTAAGGAATGCAGGAATATGAAGAAAGCTGGCTTGTGAGGAGTGCAGGGATGTAATGGGTGCAGAGATATAAAGTAGCAGGGATGTAAGGAATGCAGGAATGAAAGGAGTGCAGAGATGTAAGGAATGCAAGAATATAAAGAAAGCTGGCATATAAGAATGCAGAGATGTAAAGAAGAAGGGATGTAAGGAATGCAGGAATATAAAGAAAGTTGGCATGTGAGGAGTGCAGAGATGTAATGGGTGCACAGATATAAGGAATGCAGGGAGATAAAGAAAGCAGGGATGTAAATAGTTCTATTTTTTTTAACATGGGGAAATCTTGCTTTCCCCTTGCTTGGAGAAAGCCATTCGCTTTCGAAATCGTTAGCAGCTAAGCATAATTAATTATTTTGACAACCACCTTTCAAATCGGAAGTATGCACCACTATTCTACCGCTACATTTCTATAGCGTTTCACTTTTTTGGCGGTATTTTTGAAATACTGTATAAAAGCAATTCATCGTGGGATGTAATAGTGAACTCGTTAGTTTATTTTTTCTTTTAATTTAATGTTTTTGTAAGCAATAGCATAGTGTAAAATGTAAAAATAGGGTGAAGCTTTTTTTATTATGGTATAATACAATATAATAGTATGAATATTAAATATATCTGTACATTGTTTTGTATTATTTATTTGTTATTAAAGCAAGTCCCCTTTTCTAAAAATTTTAATGTTACTTCTATGAATCACGTAAGCTCCGATACATCAGGAAATTGAGGGGCATAAGAATACTTCATTTCAGGCTCAATAGTCTTTGTCTTATTTGTTTTAACAGGTAACACATTCATTATACTTGTAGTTAATTCTACAGGCCTTAATGATCCGAAGAAATCTGTGACTGGTACTTTATTAGGATCTCTTCGGAATAAATCTTTCCTCACCCCTACTGTTGATAAACAATAATGCTTAGGACATACCTTGAGCTGGAAAACAGCAAACATGTTAATTTTATAACATAACAAAATTTATATTGATTTGAAAATTATTTTCTATGTGACTTACAAATTCTCCTAAAGTTTTAGAGCTGGATGGTTCTACTTTTTCTAAAAAGTCTAATGCATAATATGTATATCTATCTATAATGTAAACACCAATGGCAGGATCCAAGTGATGCTGCAAAGCAAATACAGTTTACTTAATATTGTCCAAATAGAAAATAGAATAGAAATAAACACGTTTCATTGCTTACAGAAAGTGAATCTTCTCCCACTAGACTAGAAGCTACTGCTAGAATATTTGGAGAATAAAACTTCTCATACATTGAACTTGCTTGGCAAGTGTCAACAATAAACAAAATTTCATGGTATCTTCGCTTCTGCCACATTTGTTCCAATGCATCTCCAAGTTCTTGACTAGTAATTTCTTCAGAGTCTTGGAACTTCAAAAATCCATTTCCACCATGACCAGTAAGATAAATCAAAATATTAGATCCTTCATCTGTTAATAGTTTCTTTGATCTTGGTGTTTCTGGAGCTAATCGGCCAGTCAACAACCTCACAAAATTTTCTACAGTAACTTCGTAACCCCTGTAATCTACTTCTACATCATCTCCATAAACATTAATATGTTGCTTGATGTTATTGAACACAGTAGCTGGTCTAGGATTTCTCGGATTACATGCCATGTCGTCTGCTATCATAAGGATAATTTGGGAATCCGGAATTCCCAAACGTTTGACGCTCCGATAAATAGACAACACATTTGCAACGTGCCTATAGTTAAACCAAAAACGTGAGGTATCAACTAATACTGCCCAATTATTTGAGTGACCAGTTTTTGCGAAATTTTCCGGTATCTATGAAGGTTAAGTAGATTGTAAATGGAGAATAGAAAATTTAAACATTGCAGATAATTTAATTAATGAACAAACCTCCCAAGCATAATTTAAATGAAAAACACATAATGTAATAATAATTGTTAAATACATTTTAATACAATTACGTATCACATGAACTCATAAAACTTATTATTCTTTCCGTATCATGAGAAAATTTGAAATTTATACAATATATAATTGGTGACGTTGAGATAAAATATCATTTTATCCGATTTATTCCCATCGTAATTCACTGTCAGAATTTTCTCGCAATTTATAATGTTTTATACTATTGTTTACAAACTGCACCAACGGGCATAACCAAAGATACGTATGGCAAAATCGTTGCAATTATATCAATACCTGTTAGATGGCTATACCATCGATACGATAAGTGCTGCCTCCAACAGCGGGAAGGATTTACTTACTTACAAGGGGAACTACCCAAGTGTTACACTTTTTTTTAAATGATAATTTGTCCCTTTTTGAATAACTATTACATAAAAATTATCATAAAAGAAAAAAAAAAATCGTTGGGACCCAAGGATTTGAACCGAGGACCTTTAGATTGCGAGTCATGGATCCGCTCCGTAGTTAAACACATGACTCGCAATCTAAAGGTCCTCGGTTCAAATCCTTGGTTCCCATTTTTTTTTTTTTTTTTTTTTTTAATAATAATTTGTCTCTTTTTGAATAACTAATATTCTATATAATTTTCAAATGCGTAAAAGTTTAAATTATTTTTGCTGTAATGAAAGTTTAATTGTATAAAGTTCAATGCGAATTTATTAATAAATAATAAGTTAGAAGTTCTGTATACAGTTTATTATTCGCACACAATCAATTGTTACGCTGAAATACTGTTATTTGACAGTAAATCAAGTGTGTAAACGTTTTTCATGTTACTAATAATTATGATTGAATTTATGCTTGTTAGAAAGTCGTAGTTATATTAAAAATGATATTGGTATAATAAAGATTGTTGTTAATTTTCACTTTCATTCAGTTATATTCAAAAAATAATAATTTTTTATTGTGACCTATAATCCAAATAATAAAGATAGGTAGGTCTTGCAGGAATAATAGCGATAACGATTAATTGCCACGTTATAATAATTTATTTAAACATTTATACACCTATGATGTTCCACAGTCTTGAAAGTAGTTGCTAACTGATATATATATGTATATGCATCCTACATACCCACATACAGACGCATATGCATATATACATATATGCGTTGTATATCTATAGATCGTTCTCATAAATACATATAATATGTATACATATAGATTCATTTGTTCGTTCATCTCATTTATTTATTAAGTTAATTCGCTTCGTTACCGCCTAGATAAAGCATCCTCGAAACTTAGAAACTAATCAATGATCAGTACGCTATCCTATATCTTGTGATCGTGTTTATGCTGTTCTTTTACAATAATTACTGTCGATTATTTTAACTACATCAGCGTGCATGGTTTCTATCTGTTAACACGTTCTCTATTAACGCAATTGACAATACTAATTTTTACTAGTTATAGGTAGCAAATTGTTGGCTTTCTAAAAATTAATTATGTGTAATTCCGAATAAAATATGTAATTATTTTGAGAAAATAAAAAATGTATGAGAGACGATAAAACGCTTCTGTTATTTCTATCCTATGTAATAATACGAAATGGAAACCCTAATATCGTTCCGATAGGGTCATAAATGAAAAATAAAAACCAGGTAGTGATACTCAGTTTTGTTCTCGAGTGAAAATGATCATTTTCTTGCCATAGTACCATAATACTTTTTTACGTTGAATGAACAGCAACACTTTTTCATTAGCAACATACAATTAGAATTAGAAATTTGATTTTTGTTCAAAATCGGCGTAAAATTCGTTTAAATAGAATTTGAAGAGTAAGAATTGAAATTTTCATTCAATTAACCATTCTCCTTACTGTTTTATGCAATTATCTACTAATCTGTCTTTATTGTCTCTTGGCTCGACACTAAGGTGTGCTATTTTTTCAAACACGAATCGAATCTCGCCTGAAACTTCGACTTTTCTAACAGATTGAATCGAGATTGATGATTAATTATAATAGATATTCAACGACGCGTGTGTGACTTTTGGTTCGCACAATACACTCTACTGTTCGAATAACATAAAACTACTATAGAATAATTTATATTAAATTTATATACGTTACGTATAATACAGGAACTATATTATCGCATATGAATTGCATCTTCATCTAAAATACGATTAGACCCCCTTGCGATTCTGCTCGCGAATTATTTCTTCGTTAAGTTTGCTGTTGTTGCAACTTTGTCGCGTCCTAAGTATCTAAGTACCTAAATATTAATAACAATTTGAGTATTAATCATTGTAAGTATTGATATTTAAATATTCGGATACTTGGTTTCTTAAGTAGTTTGGTATTTAATATTTAGGTCTGTAAGTACTTAGAAATTTAGGTGCTTAGGTACTTGCGTGGTTAAATACTTATCTAACAATAAGTCTCTATGTTCTTAAATTCCTAAGTCCCATAGTTCCTAATATCCTAAGTCTCCAAGTTGCTAAGTACCTAAGCACCTAAGTATCTAAGTATCGATACTTATATAAATTTGCATATGATAATTTATTCTGCATCTTATATTCATTTAATGTTCCAACTTATTTTTTAATTAAAATTAAATATTCCTCCGATGTCGGTTGTCCTAGTGTTAAAGAAATCAACGACCACTTAACGTGCCAATGGAATTAACGTTCTCTAAAAAGAATATCTCCCAGAAATAATTCCTCGCCGTTTTTTCGCGACATTTGGTGCTGTTGCAAAGTAATTCCGATCCTGTATTTTCACAATGCCCGATTACAACTTCTCCTCGTTTCTCGGAACACTTTTGTGCCTGTCAGGAACGTTAATTGTTTCGCGGGGATGGTAGCCATGAGAAGTTTGCATTCCGCAAAATCGCAGTCTCATGGGGACACAGTTCGTTGGATAAAGAAACGTATAAAAGTGGCGAAACGCGAACGAACAGAGAACACTTCGGAAATTCAAAGGTTTCACGAACAAAATTTATTGATTCCATAGATTGCAGAATAAAATGTTACATAAATTCAAAGGAAGAATTTTAAAAAACGATGGAAAATTTATGTTTTCTAAGAAAATTAGCATAAATACTTAATATGGCAAATTCCAGATTCTGCAGAGTGCATATAGTAGATGTAAAAGAAAGATTATTTAGTAAACGTAGAAGTTTAGTTTCTGTTCAAAATAAAGGGTATCAATTTTATTTAGTAAAAGTATCATATTCTACGAGCTGTAATGGAATGAATTACGCGACGAAGATACACGATGCAAACAAATTAATATCACGGAGCAGATGACGATGACCGCTCTATCATTATCCAATAAGCCACTTTGTTCCCTCGTCTTTATTTTGCAATACCATCTTAATAATCCTCGATGGTGGTTAATACATTGTTGACCAATCGGTCTGTTAATCAAACATTGTCGATCATAAATTGTCTCGTGCTTTAGTTTACTAAATTAATTGCACGTGAAAGTCTTTACAGATTTATGCATCGTGTTAACTGTTAATTCGTGCTGAACTTTCGTGCTGAAGTTCACGATCTATAATCAATTATACTTCTAATATCCTTAATGCTAATTTTATTCTTTGCTTAGTGCAATAAGAAATGAATGCAATAAACAAGTTTCTGATCGAATGTTTTCAAACGAGGATAATAGGTCGAAATGGGTTAAAAATAAAAAGTTGAATAATAGAAAAACAGTCGGTCAACAATGTATCCTTGTGAGAAATCACGATATGTGAAGAATTTTATTTTGCAGTTATAGATGATTCACCATATAATGTTTGTGTTTCTAGGTATCTAAAAAATATGATACTTATCATCAATTTTCTCTACCTCGTTTCATATCGTAAATCAATCTGAATTTTGAGAGGATCGTTTAGTTTTTATTATCGATGTTTGACTTTTCCTCTAAACTTGAATTTTGACTTCGTAAAATTGCACAAATTATTCATTAAATTACAATTACTTTCTTTGACTAAAATTTTAATTGCCTATCATTTAATAATACAAAATAAAATATCAATTGACTAACATTTTTTCCATTAAACTTAAAATCAAATTTTGACTTTGTAAAATTACCCAAAACTTGCGATTAAATTATATTTTTAAATTAAAAACTATAAAATCTTGATTAATTAACAATACAACTATCAAATTTTTCTCAAATCTCGTTAGGTGCTAATAAATAACAATTATTCTCAGATATTTAAGAATCATTTTTCAAATATTTTCAAGATAAATAAATTGAATATACAAAACGTAAAGAAATAAATTGAAATTTTCACCTGTTCTTCTTTGTCCAATCGAAGTCCTTTCCAGATTAAATCATGACGGTTCTTCAAAACGAGACTGGAACGTTGACAAACCATCAGTCTTTTTCAAGAGAGCGCTTCGTGCCCAAGTAGAATACATTAGTTTTGACAATCGAATGATAGACAGTGGTGCAATTTAAAATTATGAAACCGGTTCGAGCTCGTACGCCCTGCTATTTGTATGATCAAACTGTGATTAGTTCAGTGAGTTGCTTGAATTAAGCCTCAAGTTAGTTCCGTGTTGTGTTTCGACTTTAAAATTCAACTCGTCGAATGATTACAAATATTATGTATATTGCTATGTCAAGGGTTAATTAATTAATTCAATTTCTAAACCCTTTCGAAAAATTCTGAGTCATCAGTCGGACGTTTATTAACGCTTTCGTGATCGATGAATTTATACTTAACGTGATGATAGTACATGAACGAATGCTAGATGATCGTCGGGAGCCAATCTGCAAATACATGGTTATGATTGATTAATTATTTGTCTGTTAGTATCGATTACATCTGATTAGTCGTATGGGTAAAATGAAGAATCATGTACGATTTTTAATTGATAAGTAGTCTAGCATGAATTTGGACTGATAGTACACTAGAGAAATGATTTTTTTTTTAATAAATACTGTAAGATAATGAAAGGGTTATGGTGCTACTATAATTTGTACAAATGGATCGGTGCTATGAGTCGAGAATTCGATGTTTATGGTGATATTCTCGAATAATAGATTATTAACACATTCACGGTATCGTGACTCGCATGATACTAACGATAGGTCCACGTACGACCCGTATATAAAGTCATGATACATTGCAACCAGAGTATAAATATTCTTACATTCATACTTTGGTCTGTGATTGTGTTAAAAACACTTGTCATTTTAATACTTTCTGCAGTGTGCGTTTCATATAATTTAATGAAAAGAAAAAATTATATATAATGGAAAGGGAAATGAACGATTAAACGATAAAAACCTAATAAAAAATATACGATTGATGTTATATACACATTGAGGCTGCCAGAAAACAAACAATATAAAAGCTGGTGTTAACTTATTGTACACGGTTCTGCAATCAGACTTCGTTTATTCATACTGCATTGAACAATAAATTAATTAACATTATAATAAATTAATACAAAAAGAACACTGCGGTACGTTATCTACTAAAACCGATTACGAGTGAGAGTAACGCTAAAAAAAGGCTGAAGAGAGGAAGCGATACGAATACTTACAGTAATTTACAGATTCACTTAAACATATTCATGCGTTTGAGTCGCGAGATTCTAGTGGATCCAAATTTATCAACCGCCTGCGAAAACGATAAATTCTGTTCTCTGGTGTTTCTTTAAAATCATCGTTCGATATTGCAAAATCATCGTCTATACAGTTATTCGAAATTCACGTCGACGATAATACCGAACGTATTTATGCGACACGAACAACCTCGTACGATTACCTGCCTCTGTTCAAGTAATTTCTGAACGAGTTTTGAGCTTCGCCGTTAGCGGTGTTCGATACTTTCGAGTTTAAGTTATGTCCAACAGGAAAATTATTTCGTTGCATCGACATTGTAGCTAGTTTAATTAGAAATTCGAGACTAGGTATCAAGCTTCTAAGTGTCTGAGTATCTAAGTACTCTAGATTTCTAAGTATCTAAGTAGCTAATGCTAATCTGAGTACTAATATTTTTTGAGTATTATTGTTTAAATATTAAGGTACTTAGTTACTCAGACGCTTAGGATCTAACAATTAGATCCTAAAGTACTTGGGTGCTTGACTTTCTGAATAATTAGAATGCATAGATATTCAAATATAATACTTACTTTTAGTATCAATTCCTAGAACTTTGACAGAGCTGTAGCTGCAATGTTAACTAAACATTGAGATAATTCTCACGTTAAACGTATTTTAAACCCGAAAGCCTCGGATACCGGTAACGGTGACAATCGAAACCATGAAAGCCTTAAGGATCTTACGTGAGCCTCGAATGTATATACCGAGACAATGGAATACGAAGCTGCGCGAATGGCTCCCGACACTTAAGAAACACGGCACGCAGCGACGCGTATGCAATCGCGAAAGTGTTAATTCGTCTTGATACGTCGAGCTTTCCTTCGAGCACAGCGTCGCTTGTTCGCGAACGAGACAAATTGTCGGTTCCTCCGAAAACGGAGGGAAGAATACTGATTCTGCCGTTAATCTAACTTAACCGGGCACAACTGCATTTTTGCCGGCGTGCGAAATCTGTTTCCACGATTCGCGTTAACGTTTCTCGTCGAGTTCAACGAGTTCACGTGATTTCCCGTCGTCGTGACTTCCTCTAAACAATAACCGGCCCGACAGTGGCCAACGATTGATCCATCCTCGTCCATGGATCAGCGATCACGACACGTCCGTGACGTTCAAACGTTTCGCGTGGCTCCTCGGAGCAAGCACCGTGCAAAGATCTACGAGTCGTGTCGACCGTAGGATCGTTCGATCGATCCGTCTCACGCTACGACAACGCTAATGAACGATGCGTTTGCCCGTTGTACGACAACGACTCCGTTTCGACGTCCTCGAATCTCGCGTCCTCGTCCGCCAGATCAACCCCGTAGTTGCTCGAGGTGTTGTCTTCCTCTGCAACAAAATCATAAACCAGGCTTGGTTAAATAAAATTTCATCGTAGTAGGTTATCACCTTCCTATCTCGTCGACGATGATTGGAACAAATTCTGACCGTAAAAATGTATTCCACGAATTTCTCGTTTCGATCAATGCAACAAAATTGTAAGCGTGATTCGTGTTACTCGTATACTTCCTTTCGAATATTGCAACAAATTGTAAGCTTAAATCGCGTCCCACGTACTTCATTTCGATGATTGCAACGGACAAGTCGTAAAGAGGGATCCTGTTGCACGTATTTTGTAGCATTGTCGAGTTTTCATTTTGTTCGCTTGTACGTTGCTGAAGAACCGAAGTTAGAACGTGGGTTGCCGTACATTGAAACGACTTATAATCTACATGTTAATGGCCCTGGGAATCGTGAGAGAACGGTATCAAATAATGGTCCGAAGATTCGATTTATTTAATAAATATGCGGAATCCATGTCACACGATAGTTTAATAAAATATAAACGTTGCAACGTTAATTCCTATTTACGACGATATAAATTATTCAAAGCACGTATTACGATCTTTCTAATAAGTCCCAGAACAATGAACCTTTATTGTATCGTTTCCTGATGAAATTACGATACGTTTGAAAGGACCATTATAATTCAGAGAAAGGAACATACTCAATACGTTGTCCTCGAGGACAGTTGTTGAAATCATAAATACCTGTAAAATATGATTCAACTACGAATAAATAAGGGAAAAAATGTCATAAGTTTGATTAAATGACTTTATCGATTCATAAGTATTATTCCAAGTGTCGTGTCAATTTCTTAAAGCATTCGTTAAATATTGTGCGTGTGCATTCTTTTTCTGAATATTGTGTACCAGTCCAATGAATGAAGTATTTACACGCAGGAAACTATAAATAAATATCGACAATGCTGGCGGGATAAGCGAATGATATTAGGAGGGGGATATTTATACGGTGGCGGGTACTAAAGCATAATGCAACTCCTTTGATATTGTCGATACGCGTGACAAGTAGAGCATGCTCAATAAATTCAATCGGATCTTGAAAAATTATAGATTATGCTCGAGATAAAATTGGTAATGCAGGATGCAATAACTTGGCGCGTAAAGTCTGCTTCTTGTGCGCGACATGCAACAGGTTTCTACGTCTACCTGTACCCGTGTACACCTAGACCAGAGATATTTGACTTCGAGAAAATCATTTCGAATAATGAACATCGTGAAAAATGGATATATTATGCATATCGAAGTCAATTAGTTTCAGAGTACATTGTATATATTGTCGAGAATGTATTCTGATTTTCATTTCAACCGTTTTCTTATTAGATATTAAATTATTCATCTTCAATATATTACACTTTTTACAGTTTTTTTTTTTCTAGAAATGTTGTCTTATTGAGTTCAGTGTTATTTAAGACTCGAAAGAATTTTGTTACAATCTAAAAAATTCTATACATTATTCATAAAATTAGATATGTATATTTTCCTAGTAACTATCATTATATTAGATTAAAAACTTGATCTATCACATGAAACTATTAAAAAACTTCAACCTAGAATCTTATTCCAACTTTCTAGTAGAATCTTTTACACCTCTAATTTAGATCGAATGCGAAGTTTAAGAAAGCAATCCGTATATTATCTTAGTTCCGATTGATGCAACGGGACGAACAGGATCGGAAACTTATAAGAGTCAAGACGGTAAAAGAGAAGTGTTTGCTACAAGTAGAATTCTAGAATTTCACGGCTAGTTCTCCTTCGGGGTTTCGCGATTGACTGTGTTTAACGGGCGAGACAAGCGAGCGCGTAGGCGCGTATATTCTCAAAGGCGACTCGAACAAGGCGAATTCCACGCTGGATTACGACGATCGCTCGGTTCGCAGACGGCTCGTGAATGGCCCACGCCTCCGAGAGAAATAGATAAATGACCAGACGCGTATTCCGCTTTATCACAGCACGCGAAACGCGCTCCCCCGACATCGACGAACCCCTTTGCTAAATGCAAAATGAAATCGGAATGGAAGTGTCGACGGCCACGCTGTTACTATCCGGTCCCGAGACCAGACTTCTGTTAATTCTCGATGAAAAACGAGCCAACCGATCCTGCTTTTACCCAAGAGATTTATTCACGGCAATTTCGATCGTTTCAAAGCGACACGCTGATGGGTTACTGTTACTTCTTCGACTTTCTGAAATATCGTCAACGAATCGACTGAACTTGTAATCTTCTCGGTGTAGATTTAGTAATTTTTCATTTTCTTGTTTCTGTTCAACGAATAAACGATTTGTCAAATTTTAAATAAAATAAAATGAATTTATTGGTAAAAATAAAAATTGTAATTCTTTTTCCTTTGTCCGAATTGACTACTCCTTCGTCTATCTATGCATTCTTTTTTAAATAAAGGATAGTTAATATTCTCGTTTGTTAAATATAAATAAATATTTCAAACCAAATCGCTACTTCAAATTCAATTTCTAGCATTCAAGTAAACAAAGATTTTTGTAAATATAGATACTTATTGGAGTATATAAATTAGGTGCATGAGTTCATTGAACTTACCTTGACCGAATAAGAGTTAAAAATCAACGAGATCGTGGTCTAACTCCGGCCATGTACGATCGTCAAGTATTAGCAACGTTCACGGTCCGCTCGAAACATCGAGTGTCACTACTTATTAAGGTGCGACTCCATTGGTGTTCGCAAACAGTTCGCGAACAGTATACTCATCACGCGACGACCGTAAAATCACTTATCTCATCGATTACAAAAAAATGTATGTTTCTAATAAAGGTACATGATAAATGTGTAAAACGCACTTCCACTTGCCAGACCGGTTAGGAAATGATTTTTTACTAATTGCTCACAGTTCCGTAAACCGGTGATGCAACCATAATTATTGTCCGATAAAGAGGGTCAAAACTACATTTTCACATCTTATTAGTATTGTGATAATATTAACCCTAATTTTTGTCATTTTATTTAAAAATTTTTCAAGATATTCCAGTATTTATTAAAATAGGGGTTTTTAATTTCTTAATGAGAGGTCAAGTGTCCTTCGTAATCTCCCTTTCCTAGATTATACTAACAACGAAAAATAAAAAACTTAAATTTGAAAATTAGCTATTCCTGCCCTTAAAATAATTAAAGCGAACTCTTTGGGAAAATTGTTTGCGAACCGTTTGCCAATGAATACGCACCTTTAGTCAATCGTTTCGGCGTTCATTCAGCAGGAGCTGGTGTTATCTACGTAATCGCGTGACACGAGGACTTACCGATATAGAAAGGAGAGGTGTCGTGGGCGTTGCAGGGGCCGGCGTGTCGCGTCTCGAGGACGAAGCCGGTATCGCAGGCGTCCTTGACGATGTGACACCAGCTGGGATAGGTGATATTGTTCGTGGCGCACAACATGGTCGCCGATGGATCTCGATCACGGTGCGTCCGGTTCCGGACCCGTTCCCGCTTCCGGGGACAACGATAGGTGCAGGTTACGCAACGTGGTCGGCCCGACTTCATCTCCGACAGACACGTCTGCCCCTCGCGACAACGAATCGTCGTGCAGTCGGCGTTCTCTATAAATAAAAACAGATGTGGTTAAGCTGTGTCTATGCTACATAACAAAACAATTTTAACCTTTACAGAACCGGCAAAGTTTCTTTTAAACCGTCACTCAAACCCTGCACAATATCATTTTAGTGAAAAATTTCGGTCCTCTAAAGATTAAAAACAAATTATTGTACAACATTTTTTATTTCATTATCATTGGCGGAACTGGGATTTTTTTCTAGGATGGTTTCGTTTGTATAACTGTTCTGCTTTTTTAAAGCTTTTCTTGCTGGATGATGACATAATTGGATACTCGTAAAATTTCTTCCGGGAGAGAGATGAGATGGAATAAAATCGAGTACTTTCATTCTTTTTTTTTTTGTTCTTCAAGAGGATTCTTAATTTGGTGTTCGAGCTTAGGACATATCTATTTATAGATAAATAATCGCTGACGCGCTGAATGATCATTATTGATCATCACTACCAATGTATTCCATTCAAATGATTACGGAACATGAAAAAAGAGAATGGATCCCTGTAGCATTTTATTACTAACGGTAAAGTATAAAATGAATACCTAAATTAATTTTTCATAAAATATGCCGTGCTACATATATCCGCTTCCAATCTGGCAATCATCGTCTCAAAACTATTAAAATTTAATGAATACACGATAAAAGTCTTAAAATGCTAAATAATTCCAAACATAAAAGTCCCATAAACGAAAAGAACATAATCTTCGCTCTCGATTCGAAGAGCAAACGAAGATCTTGAAAGTCCGAGCGTCAGACAGGAACGTACATAGATTAATTTTCGCGAACGCGAACTGACAGAGGGAACGTGCACGTTACATAATAACGAATGGCACTGAAAGGAACTGGCTAGTAGTAGAAGGCTACTGTGACGAGGCAGAAACGAGAGACAGGTTCAATCGTCGAATTAGACGCGCTCTATCTTCGTCCGCTCGGCTGTTTCGTGCGGTGACTCGTTCGCAGACACGATTACTGCAATCATATATGTCGTTACACCTACTTCGGTCAATGGCCCACTTCTCACGGGGGGATCGCGTAATGTATTGCTCATTTTTTATTCTGCCAGTCGTGAACGCACACGCGACCCGATGAAACGTTACGCAATTTGTGCATCGGCCGTCGCCGTTCAAGATAAATAATCACGTGGTAGAACAACGATACGGGTTCATTTTTTGTTTATTGCCGCAAGCGAATTTCAAGAGATTCTAGATTAGCAATTTTATTTATCGTAAAAACAGTTTCGAGCATATAAAAAATTTTTTTATATTAGATCACTTATTTTAATAGGAATGATTTAATTTATCTGATAGAGAAAGATTAAATTTATTAAAAAGGAACTGTACTTTATTTAAATTTTCATTTGATAAAAGTAACTGATCCCTAAATTCTATAATATTCAAAATCACCTTATCAAATTATTATTACAATAAGTTATAAGTGAAACTGTATTATTTACTTAGTGAAGCTTAAAAAGATACATACCATTAATCAACATGACAAACTCTTAGTCCCATTACTATTCGTCTGTGTATATACCACTGTGAAATATCAAAAGCATTGTAACGGCGTGTTCTTACGTCGCTAACAATAAACGTCATAAAAGACACATTTGTTTGTCTGATGGACGTCTGATGTACAAAATGGCGAATGTACATTCCTTCTGTCTGGTCTAGGGTTCCTAGTGCACGCGTAAGTCACGATCATAGCAATCATCGTATCACTCTTCTATGTGGATGTAGTCTGTGAGGTATGGACCACGTGGCTGTACTAGATTAATATTAAGTGATTCACGCTCGGTAATGTGATACTTGTTGTTAGACACGAATGCTTAGGCTACGCTGCGTACTTTTATATGGAAGTCCGCATCAGATGTTGTATCCCGTTGACTTGTTACACCGTCTAGCATTATATATTGTTACACGCTGAGAGACATCTGCTTAGCTCGAGCAATTGAATTTATTAAGACACATTACGCAAATTGTAGCACGGAGAACATTACGCTAATGAGAATACTGCGCTACATCTTTATTAGAAAAATATATGGGAACGAGAGCCGAGGGCGTGACAGAAACGTATCGACTCGATGCTGATACATTGCAAAACTTTTTCACTGAATTTGAATGAAATACAACAATTTTTTTTCTAGTAAAATGTTGCGATCCGTGTTAATATTTGGACACCGCGATATTTATTCAATCCTGATGGCAGAATATAAAATCGACTTGAAATTGATAAAAAAGATCGGGCGAATGAACCTGTTATGCAAGCGATCAATTTAAGAAGTAATAACCCTTGTACCGAGCGAATTCTTTCAACGAAATATATATTTGTTTTCTCTCATAAATTAAGGAGAATTGATGGTAGTGCATTTTACACGCCCACGCATCGGTGGTATGATTTAAAACAGCGCGTTTGCTCGAGGGTTAAAATCACATTCCGCCAAACGGTTCAACGAAAAGCACTCTCCCGACTTTAATCCTTTCTACTTCTTTTCTTTTATTGACAAATATTCTCTTTCGTTTGTAAATCTTCGCGGACATTTATGTTGAAATAAGAATGCAAATTGAATCGATGCAATTAATTTTCTGAAGAAATCTGTATAGATTCAGTCTTTCAGACTGATAAAAGTTCTAATAAATTTTTATTATTTAAATGGATGATATATCAATCTTGTTTAGTTAGATTTAGTTATCAGAAATAATTTCTATTTGTTCATCGTTATAAATATCTTCCTATAATGTGAATCTTATAGAATGGCGACGACAGACGACAAAAAGGGTGATTTCGTAAATTTCGAGACACTCTAAGGATGCACTCAAATCGATCGTAATTAATGAGACGCCGTTATTGATGATCCAAAGGAAACATGGCAAAGCTCAAAGCGTATCCTTTTCGGAACTCGTTTTACCAGTCGTAACAAAGCAACGGATAGAACCGTTGCTCGGATGCGCGGCTAGAGTTCTCTCTTAGGGATCCGACATAATTAATTAGCAACAGCATTAAATGGACACGTCAGGCAGGAACCAGTTTTTAGTCCGGTAATTAACGATCCTGGGTAAGGATCGCTTTCCTTTGTTCGTTTTAACGTTATATTTACTTTCATCCAGCGGTACTTGGCCAGGAATAATCGTGATTCATGAAATCGATGCGATCGATTGAACTTATTGGAAAATTTTTAAGAGGAATATTTTATTCGATCACCTGCTGGTAATAAGTCCTGAGATTGCTACACGGTACATTCGCGATCAAATTTGTCCAAGTTGTCATACCGCCCACCCCGTCGCGACGATAAAAATATTTCAGCAAACGTCTGTCTCGTGTATTCTCTCAAAAATTCCATCGAGTCTCGTTCAAAGACGTCGAAAAAAGCCGGCGTCTGGTCCACCAGCCATCAGGCCAGCAACGTCTCTGTCCGGCACGGTCGTCAACTTTTCTCTGTCTGCTTTCCTGTTCCGGTGGAATTCTGAAATTTCAACTGCCGTCTGGTCCTCGACGAAAGGTAAAAACCTTTCCTTCGAGCAGGCACATTCAGCCTGCTGGATGAAGAAGAAGAGAGGAAGAAAAAAAAAAAGAAATGAAGGGAGAGACAGAGGAGTGTCGCGAAGAAGGGACGGTACACACGGAGGACAGGGAAGTAAATAAGTAAATAAACCAGCGGGCTTAGCGAGGAGGTGTCGCGATGCAAATAATCGTCTTCCTTGAGGATCCGAGGCGCGAAAGTGCACGTGTCTGCAAATATGCATACGGTAATATGCGCGTACGAGCTTTTCCCAGTCCTTTTTCCTCGCCCCCCGTGCCCGTTCGTCCGGATTCTTTGATATTCTCGGACCTCTCGTGCCCGCTGCCATCTTCTCGCGCCAGACACGGGCGTTAAGTAATTTGCTTATTTCTTTTTTACTCGCCGCTAATAGCTCCTTCATACATTGGCATGGTTTTCTCGCGCATCTATGCCCGACGTCAACTTTGTCGACATTTTTCAAAGGTTTGATCAGCGAAATTGCCCGCTTCTGTTGACAATTGATGCGATAGAAAAATTCGTTTTCATTCGAAAGGGGAGATCTTTACATGAGAATTTTTACGTATAGGTTTTTCAAATAACGAAAGTTAACGAAAGTTATTTTAAAGTAAATGAAATAAGAATGAAATCCTTTTCATTTAGCCTGCAATTATTTACTTACAATTAGTAAAGATACACACGGTTCGCGTGTAAAACGCGAGCTTCTCTGGCTTATAATCACGTCCCGTTTTTGCCGTTTATTTTACGGTTCTCATTTCTTTTCCTTGTATTTTACGGCAACGAATTCAAACAAGTTAAACCAGCTGAAAATAACTTGTTTTATAAATTGAACGAGTAAATAAAAAGAAAAATTATTATGTTCAGTTAACACGAAATATTAACTGCAAGTTCGATAATTTGTCCCGACATGTGAAATACATTACAGGTAGAAATTTTCAAACTACCTACAACTCAATAACATACGAATGCAAATTCGTTCGGTATTTAAATAACTGCCTCTGTACCGGAACACGCGATCAAACTAGAGTTTTTAATTCAAAGAACTAAAAGTTCAATATTCCCATTATTTCTTTTTTTATCATAAAGCTATTTTTAATAAAAAATTATTAAATTCGAGTTAAACTTACTTTGGCTAACACATGTGATTTGTTAAATTATAACAATTTTGTAGAAAAAGAATATGAAAACCATTAGTTTATATCGCAACCTAGTATTAGAAATATGATTAGAAAGTTATTGATTGGAATGGCGCTTACCTTGATTGAAAATTATTATTATTAATCTCTGTCAGTAACCGATCATTATTAGTTTCTAATTAATTTATCAAGTTGTCATTGCTTTAGATTTATCAGATTACTTAGCAACATTATTAAAAAGAATATTGATTAATCGCATTAAGAATATTGATGATAAGAATATGAAACTTGAAGTTTAATATTTATATAGAATAAGTGCTATTTTATAGTACTTTTATATC